CAAAACTTTGCCTCAAAGCTAAGTAATATTCTCTAGAACTCACCATCACTAAGGATTGTGCACTCACTGAGTTTGAGGGAATGTTTTTTATGCCCCTCTATCTGTCTACATACATCACACACAGAAATGTGAAATAGCAATGTGCTATGTTTTAAATTTTTGGTATCGTAGTAGAACCACTCCATATAAACGACAATTTTCTCAAAATGCTGTGCCTTGCAAACAAAAACAAGCAGATTTCTTCAACTCATAATATCTGTCAAGCAACACTTATTTACTACATCATTGTGTTCACAAGTATCTCCTTGTGATTATTAATATCATTGCTTGCATATGATTTTAGTATGCTATATACTTATAAAAAGTAGCCATACTGCTAAAAAAGAAAAAAAAAGAAGAAAAAAAAGAAAAAGAAAAAAGAAGAGGGATGAATTGCTATGTGAAGGCAGTTGAACAGTTTCTGAATTAAAGAGGAAGGAGAGGAGTATAAAATTGCATTGGCCAGCTTGTTTGGTTCACTACTGGTTGCATAAACAAACTTATAAACAAACGTATTTCTTAATCATGGATACATGGAGGTAATACAGTTTACCCTAACTTGTCTGAATTTCCTTCCATTGTGTGCACTGCCATCATGTGGCTGTTTTTTCATTATATGAAGCACATTAAAAATATAAGTCCACTAAATGCAACTATTTAGTTCAGAGCTATTGGTAAATTTTGTAATTCAAAGAACTTTAGATACACGTAAGTTCTACTTATGCTGTTTTGCTTGTCAATAATGTGTTCCAGAATTTTACTGCTGATAATTTTGTGGCAAAAAAAATATTAAAAAGGAAATTACTGAAGGTTGCACATAGGTACATCTAATGCATTTGCATAAAAATAAGTTGGTGCCCATTTTTAGTAGTGAAGGAAAATATCACATTTGTGTTTTTCTTATTTCAAGCACTCTCAGGTCCTGCGAAAGGAAAGAACAAATGTGGGAGTTGAACTAACTCATTAGTGGTAAACAAATAAGTTTTGTTTGAGGAAGTTCAATTCCAGTCTGTTTTTCTATTTCATGTACAAAAAAAAAAAAAAAAAAAATTATAGATGTGCAAATTAAAACTCAAAATATTTTCTTTTTTATAGATTCAGTGCTGCCATCTAATGGACACACTGCAGTGAGCTCCCATTTGTTTTCGAGAAACAGTGTTTTAAGCAGATAAAATCACACACTTAGAATTCTTCGTAGCCTTAAAAATGAAAGCTACGAGAAAAGTATTTTAATGCTGTGTTTTTAATAACCCCCAAAAGTACTTTCAATTCATGCTCATATTTTATGTCACCATGTGAAAGACAAAGCTGCAATAGAAGTCCTGTGTAAAAACACCTGTAATGAAATAAAGGTTCATTCCCGCTTCCATGTATCCAGTCCTATCACGGAGAACAAAGTTTCCTGCTGCTTAATTGTAAGTCAGCATCTCGGCTTTTCCTCTTGTTTGCTTTGAACACAAAGGCAGCAATGCATACCTGAGTTTCCAGACATCCTGGAACAAACGCAGGAAGGAATGAATTACCTTCTTACTACAATATGAGGCAGTGATGCTATTAATAATATTTCAAATACACATTGTAATAAATAAAAACGCAACTCAGCAATGTAAGAAGGAACAAATACTATAAAGATTGTAGGAAGTAATTCTCACAGTCTAATTAGGTATGAAGTAAGAACAAAGAATGAGTGGGGTGACTGACAAATGTAGAAGCCAGGATGATCCAGACCTTTATGAATAAAGGGTGTCCCTTACTGATTTCTTTCTGCTGAGGAACACCAGCCTTTGTCAGCAGTTTGTAAGGAAATCACAGTGTAGGAGTGAGTCGCTCACACATGAATACTTGCTGTAATTAATGACAGTGTTCGAGCAAGGTAGAACAGACTAGGAATTTACTCCACTCACTTTCACAAGGATAAGTTGTATTGTTGTATAACCAAGATGTTATAATTGCAATATAATCAAAAGAGTAAGACAAAGCGTATAACCAAGATGTTATAATTGCAATATAATCAAAAGAGTAAGGCAAAGCAAACAGGGATCACAAAAGAGAATAAGTAGAAGAGCTTACCCTTGGGTTGAGCTCACTAGAAGATATCAAAGAGGAGGATCTCCAGAAGAGATCCTTCCCCTCTGGTAGCCAGCTCTTAAATAGGTCCAGGAGGGGTGGAGCCTGGCTCCACCCCTTCCGGTAGCACAGGTGAATTGCCTTCACCTGTGCTCCTCTGGCTGACTCATGGCTCACCTCAGGTGATCAATCAGAGGTTCAGGCCGTGACTCAGCAGTTCCCATACAATTGTGATTTACAATCGGCCAAAATGTTTTAATTTCTTATAGTTTCAGGCTTATTAGACATAAAAGTGTACTAAAAACCATCCTCTAATTGATGAAAATATTAAAGTGATCTGGAAGGAGCCTTAGTTTAAAGAAGTGTTTGTTACTGTGTTACACTACATGGATATACAGTGTGGTATTCTGTTATTAATCCATAGCATACTTTGTTTATACTCTGTGGGACAGGCCTAAGTTGAACTGGAAGATGTGGACATTAGAAAAATCATTTAGAAGAGGTACATAAAAGCAATAGTGTTGTATGCATTGACAACATAGATCAAGTCATTTAGTTGGTCCTACTGTTACAATGGGATTTGTAGCAGACAGTGATGTGGGTAACATTTGCAAATGGCACAGACAGGGTGGGGAATGTGGACTGTCAGCTTTCCAGTAAGGCAGTAGGCCGTACACTGGCATATTTCATACAGTGTTTGTATTATTGTAGGCTTTATTGTTCCTAATTTTGGATCAGAATAACACTGCTAGATGTAGTGTCAACACAAGCAGAAGAGGCACCTCCTGCCAAAAGAATTAATTATATAAGAGAAAAGAAACAAATACAAACAGGCAGGAAAAAAAAAAAGCCATAAATATCAGATAAGAGAAAACACATACATATAAACACCAGGGAAATTTCAGAAAATATTGCACTACTGGTTAGAATGATGTGAAGCCTTGATAGCCAATGTAATCACAGAACACATAATATTTGTATAGTGTTACAGTGGCATATGCATCTACTACAAATCAATCCTGTGTAGCTCACTGCTTGAAAGAAAATGAATGATGAATTCATCAATGAATTGATAGAGTGATTTCCAGAAAAGCATTCCAGGTATTTATCACACAGACATTTTTGTGTTTTGATACTTTTTCTTCAGCTGCATTTACACTCACCAAGTGATAGAAGAGGAGCACTTCCAGAGAAAAATGTTGGTGCTGAGATCTTGGTATCCACGCAATTTTCAGGGGGCTTACTTTGGACTTCGGAACCTGTGAACATTAACAGATGGAATGTATCAGCTGCTCTTCTTGTAAATCTACTTGCCTGATTCTGACTTTTTTTTTTTTTTAATAGCTGTGTGAAGATTATTGGCAAATTGAGAGTCTAAATATTATTCATTATTCTTTTTTTTTTTTCTTTTTTTTTTTTTTTTAATAATGAAATTTTAATTTAGGGTCAATTAGATTTGATACCTTTTGCATACGCATAGAATTGAGCCATTTTATAGTACCATAACATTTATTACATAAACCAGACACCTACATAGTTCTACAAAGTTACACAAACACACTCAGATGATGATTTTCTTTTATATAGGCTGCAGTATTAGCTCTCATGTACCTCTAGAACTTGATTTTTCATCTTGTAACAAAATCCGTCCTTATTCACCATGCATTTAAGCTTATTGTTGCACTGCTAAGGAACTGCACTTCTCTTTTAAGACGTTCCCCAAGCATTGCCTTTCCAGAGCCAGGGAGATTTAAGAATTTGATGTCAGTGGATTTTTACATGAGCATATAGTAACACACCTTTTGGCTGCATCCCAGGTATCAGAAAACTCATTTCAAAACACACAAAAGCATAACATAATAACTCTTCAGAGCACAATCTCCCCATACCAAGTCTGTATTTCTGGTTTTATTCCTATCAGGTGGGCAGAGGAAACACAAAATAGTTAATGAAAAGTAAGTGAGGGAGAATGTGGGCATGGAAGCTGCCTTTGAATGGTAAGAGCAGCTGTATGGTATTTCCAAATTAAACAAACAAACAAACACGTGGGCTGAAATCAAACACAGATCTCCCTCTGGCAGAAAGCACTACAAATAAAAAGACAGAGAAACTGGAGTTATAAATAAAAGTTTTAAGTAGTGCACTAATTGTATTAATTAATGCTACACAGAATTTTCTGTCTTCTCATTTTTTATGACACCACATGATTTATTTTTTCTTCTCATTATCCTCCTGTCCCTCCCACTCCTGAACTTCCTAAAGGAAAAAAAAAACCCAAACAGATCAAGACAGTTCAATTACAGCAAACTAGATTTGGGATTTTCAAATGCTTTTAGCAAAGGAAATAAAAATCGCACTATTGGAGAGAATTTTGTGCCACAGGATGGTTCTCATGCACCTGAAGGAAAAAAAAAAAAAAAAAAAAAGAGTTCCTAACAACCTAAGGAAATACTACTTTTTCTTTGTAACCCAGAAGTTGTTGAAGGACCCCTTAAGAGCAATCTTTACCCTCAGAAGGAATACAGTTACAAAACGCTTACAGCTGATACTGTAGGAACTGTGCCGACGGCTCGTTTGGAGGAGAAGCAGTCTTGCTTTATCCTGCTCTCAAGAGCCGCGGTTGGTTTCCCCGTGCCAAACGGTTTGTGAATCAATCGCAAAACAACGCTTTCAGCAGCCCCATTCCACCCCGACTCCATTTCGGGCCGCGAAAAGCTCGGCTCCACCGCCCCACACGGGATCGCGGCGCGCATGCGCAGAAAGGGCGCCGTCGCCAATGGAGGCGCAACGCGTGCGCGGCGGCCCGAAAGGACATGCGCCATGCGGCCCCCGACCGCCCCGCTGCGGGGCATTGAGGCCGCCCGCGCTTGCCGTAGCACGGGCCGTACCAAATTCGTGTCCTCCAACGGGGAAACGCGGTCGGAAATTGACGGTGCTCCTTGAGCCGTCGCCTACCATCCGGCCTGCGGTCGGCGGGGAGACCCCGGGCCGGGCTGGAAGTAACGGGCGGCTCGCGGTGCCACGGTAAGGAAGGGGCGCGGGGCGGCGCGGTGTGGAGCTGCGCTGCCTCGCCTCATCTCACCTCACCCCTGCCCGCGGTGGCGGCGCCGGAGAGGGGCGGGGCGCGAGGGGCGAGCGGCTCGGGTAATGGCAGCGCTGTGAAGACGAGGAGCGGGGCAGCGAGCGCGGCCGCGCGACAGGGAGTGAGGGAGCCGGCGGCGGCGCCGATCGGATCGGCCCTGTGCCGCCAGGTAACCCCCGCCACCGCCCCTCGGCCGGGAGCGTCGTCACGCTCAGCGCGGGAGTCCGTGCTCGGCCGGGAGGCGGTCGGTCTCCCCGGCCCCGTGCTGCGTGTGGAGGCGCCGCGGCCCTGCCCGGCCGGGTGCTGCCCGCGGGAGCCGCGCCCCGCCCCGCCACACGGGGCCGCCGCTCCCCGGAGCGGCCGCCCGGGGCGGGCCGGGACCGCCCGCGCCCGAGAGGTCCCGACACGGGCCCCGTCCCGCGGGAGGCCGCGGTGGGGCGCGGGCCGGGCGGCCGTCACGGGCCGCTTTTCGCTTCGGCTCAGGCGTCGGGAGGCGCAGGGTGTTCGCTCCTCGCCCCGCTGCTCCCCGGGCTCAGCGTCCGGACGAGGAGTGCGGCGGCTGAAAACGCGCGTGGGTCGTATCAGCAAATGGGAGCGGCGTGACAGTGGGGCGCTTGGAAGAGAGGGGCAGAGGGGGCACCGACCGTCCGTTGTCCCGGTGCGTTCATGGGTTTCGGCGGCGGCTGCTCTGCTTAGAGCTTGTCGGACGGGTACGGCTTCCCGCCCCTCAGTGGTGTAAACCCAGACGCAGATATTCTACTCTTGTGTCACTTTGACCACCAGTGCGTGGATCAATACAGGGTGTTTGGTGTTCGGTGCGTTTGTGTACCGCCTTCGTGGAGCTCACAAACTCCCGCCCTGTGTATGGCAGAGAAAGTTACGCTGCATTTGTTAACACTTTAAAACCGATTTTGGATTCTCACCAACTTGAAAGCTGGAAGAGATTGCCTAGCTCCAGTCAGCTCTGTGTTAAACCATGCAACCCCGGACTGCCTGCATGTGTGCACGGTGCTTTGCATGTTTTATGTTTTGGTGATGTTAAATATGATGTTATGGATTTGTTGTGACATAGTGTGGGGCTTTCTCTTCAGCCTTTCTTCCCCCTTAGGTTGCAGTAATTTCTTTTTGGAGTCACCTGAAGGTATTGTTGCATTTTCCAGAAGAATAATATTAAAGGTTTTGGGTAAAGATTGTTTTTCCTTCCTAGAAAAGTGCTTTGCAGTTGCTTATATTTACCAGGGTCCACATTTCTTTGACACACACAACAGTTTGCACATTTCACCTTAACCTATTGTGGACGTCAATTTGTTTCATCAGTTCCCATTGCTTTTTTGCTGCTGCTGCCACATATGAATTGAAGATGATTTTTTGTTCCCAAAAGTGGCCAATAGCCATGTTGCAAATGTAACAGTTTATATGCTTAAGCAGAACTGAGAGTATTTATGTGTCACTTATTGATTTTTATTTCTTCTTCTTGAAGTAATGAAGCTCTTAAAGCTTCAGGCCTCGTACCATTTCCTTGATGTTATTTGCTGTTCAGTTTCTTTATGAAATCAAAGCAGATGTGGGTAATAAATTGATCACACTTGAAGCGGAAACTGTTGCATTGCAGAGAGGAAAACAGCCTTCTGAAGTTCCTGATTCTAGCAGCTCAGGAGCCCAATTAACTGGTCAGTGTGCTGTTTTGGAGACATAAGGTGTAAAACTTGAGTTTGATGTTATTAGTATTTTTTTTCTTTAAATTGAGAAACTGTGTATCCTGCATTTTCAGAAACAAAGAGCCAGCAGGATTATGGGAGTGAGCTGCTTCCAGGGGTAGCTTTTCAATCTATCATTTGGTTCTTTCCTTTATAGAAGTGTCTGGTGCTACAGGTTTATTTGTCAGTGGCTCTCTTTTTTTTCATTCTGCCTATGAACGTTTGGGATCTGGTGACAAGTCACCTGTCTGTCTCAATAAAATGGGAATGTTCTTCCTTTTCTTCTAGTCTTAAGGTGACATCTTTTTGAGTGGGATCTGGGCATGCTTTATGTCTGCAGTGTCATTCGTAGGGCCCCGCTGGGCTGGATGTATGGAACAGAGGCAAATAGGAATGCAGAAAGAGGAGGCCTTGGTGGTTTTGCTTTTGTTTTTCTCAAGGCATCTTTTCTTGAGTTCTCTTACTTTTTATTTAGATTTATTTCAGTCACTCTTCCAGATCTATTTAATAGATCTCTTCTAGTATTTTTATGTGAATATGTTAATGTATTTTCAAGCCATGTTTTACTTGAAAAAAATCACCGCTTGTCCTGCTGCACAGTGCAGCAGGCTACACAAGCTGTGCATAATGCTGTATGTTAAGTGTTTTCTTGTCATCTTGGTCAAAGCTTTTGGGTTTTGTGGCTTCTAAAATTTAACACCGAAATTGTTTCATGAAAGCTTGAGCTGAACATAGACTGTATGCTGACAGCAGTAACTTCAAATAATCAGATCCTCTGCTCAATGTGTTTCCGCTCTGGGTTCTCTCCGGGTTCAGCTGCAGCTGAGGGAGCCTTTCTGTAGAGGTAACTGATGAAAAACTTACAGGGAAATCAGTTTCTTCATGTTACGCTGCTGAATGGGAAGTTTTGTAAAGTGCTGAACTGCACAAGGCGTGGTGCTGTTAAGTAGATTGGCATTGTGTTATGGGTGATTCATGTAATATCAGCATTCCCTTCCATAAAGTTCAAAATAAGTGTTTGACTGGGGAGGTGGATGGGCAGGGAAAAGGGATCCTTTGTATTTGTGTGCTGATGTGGTGCAACGTACAAAGTTCAAGTTGAAAAATTCAAATGAAATGTATTTTTTTATGTTATTGTGCCATGTTGCCTGATATATTGAATTTTTCCACAGATCAACACTAAAACCCCACAATGTCCTTGAAACCACGAGTGGTTGACTTCGATGAAACATGGAACAAACTTCTAACAACAATTAAGGCTGTTGTTATGTTGGATTATGTTGAAAGAGCAACGTGGAATGACCGCTTCTCGTATCCTTTAAGTGACGTTCTTCATGTGTCCGTGTGGTATGTTTGGCACGAAGCACATTTTAAGGTTCTACTTTCTATTAGGTGTGTGAGTCAGAAAAAATGGCCAAAAGGATGGGAAATTCTGCATGCTCATGAAGTGCTTGATGTGATACAGTGTTAAAAAGTCCGAGTTTTACTTGCTTTCAGTAATATCAATCTTTAGCTTGCACTATGCTTGTTCACAAAACTGTGTGCAAATTTCCTCTTTTTGGTAATGAGTTTTCCTTGTATGCTGAAGTGTGCGTGTGGCAGGGCTGTGCACCTCTGACAGAATAGAATCCAAATCTCTAAAGCTAGGGGATGGTGCGATTGTTTTGTTTCACTTACACCTGTCTCCTTCTTCTGCACTTCTGAGTATTCTGTTGACTACCATATTAGTCATTTCTACAGGCTTATAGAAAAGTCTTTCCTTTTATTCTACCTCTGTTATTGGCTCTCTAGTCCTGAACAGTTTAGAGTTGAATGTAGCTGCGATCATACAGTCTTGCTGCTCAAATTACAACTGCATGAAGGATGCTATAGTGAATAGTTGTAATTTTACATTTAAAATGGGCATGTAATAAGACTTAAGTTTCAGTGAACTTCTTTTTAAAGAAACAAAGCTGTGCCCTGCATCTGTGCATACATTAGCCTTTACAGTGTGGTGAGAAATTAGACAATTTTTGGAGGCTTTGTAGCTGCTCCCTGGCAATCTGATTAGGTTCGGTTTAATTTCAAGGTGGAAGAATGGTTTAGACTTAAATATCAATTCGCTAATTCTAGCAGGTGAAATAAGAGTCTCCTGGGAAGACCTTTGTATGTTATTACAGCATGAGCTTATTCTGTATGTGGGAGCTGAATTCTCTCTTTCTGATCTGTTCACCATTTCTCAGAATTGCTTTCCCACTTGTCTGATTTTTAGTGTTTATCTGCAAGTATATACAAATTCAGTTGCTTGTAGTCTATGTAGAAGATAGTTGTGGAGATGTATTGTGCAGTAATCTTTTGAGAAGCTCTGTAATTTTAAAACTTTATAATTGATTTGTGGGGGTGTGACTCTCCACCTTGTCTTAGACACCAAACCTTAGACTTTTAGCATTAAGTGTAAATTTCTGTGCTTGCAAATTGTGCTGTAGTAATTTTTTCTAAGCAGATTTTAGGAATTGCACATTTCAGTCTTCCATAAGCTGTTAAATTCTGTAGCTTGAGACTACCCATTACAAAACAATGCCCAAAATAGGTTTAAAATTTAAGATAATAGCTGAATGGGATGTTAGATTGATTTTTCTTGTGTGTGGGCTTCCATATAAGAAGTTCTAAGTGGACCGATATGTGAACTCTGCTGTTGATCCTGTTTTGGGCTTTACTTTAGTTGACTGAGCATCATGAAGGAAACACTTATGAACAGCAGACTCAGGATGCAGGCTTGGAAGAATTGTTCTGCATATAAATCTTAAAACCTCACTTACTGTCTTCTATTCATTACCTTCCTGGGAAGGTGGCATTATTAGTGTCTAATTTGGCACAGTTGAGAGCCTTTGGGAGCATTCTCTATGGCAGAATGGCCCGAGGAGCTTCTGTGACTTGTAACTTGTGATGTTTATTTTGTGTTACTACTCCTGCTACATTGACCAAGCTCTATGCTTTAACATAAAGTCTTCATTCTTCTATACAGTTGTTTTGAAAGCTTTTTCTTGGGTTTTCAATGTAAAAAGAATAAAAACCCAAACACCTGAGATATAAATAAGTTTTAAACACCAGGTCTTCCTAAAACATATCTTGTTCTGTGATAGCTTTTTGCTTTCTGCTGAATTTAATTGAAGTTTGATTTAATGTGTTCCTAAGCACCTAGAGGGATGTTAGGATTGGTTTATGTATCTGTCCTTTCCACAGATCTGACTTAAAAACAGAATGAGGAAATGTTTGTTTACTCTATTTTTCTTGTTGCTTAATAAGCATAATAAAAAAATATGACTAATATGTTGGAACTGTGTGCTAATGAAATTCATGGAGGCTGTTTGATTGGTTCTAGCACCAGTTGATCTGTGTAATTTCTCTGTGGTGAAAACAATGACATGGAAACAAGGGATAAACTGCAGCAAATAAATGTGATTTCAATCTGCTGCAGCTTGATTCTAAGTGATTGTTTTCTCATGTGCTGCTTGAGACAGCTGAGATCAGTTAGAGTGCACAGACTAACAGTATTTTAGGGCTGGGAGGTTTGTAATGTGCAGTCATCTTCTAGAACTAATTCCTGTATTATTATTTTCCAAAAACTTGATGTAAATGCAGTGTTTTCTTTATTACTGTGATAATTTTATTGTTAAGCATAGGTTATCTTTATACACAGCTCATTTCAAATTTGAAATGCTAGAATGGCAATGGTCTGAGAATTCCAATTGTATAAAGAGTTAAAGAATCTTCTAGAGAAGATGACTTGAAAGACTGTCACTTTATTTAAACTGTGAGTCATCTCAGGCCACCTTTGACCTTCAGATTTCCTTTCAGGTTCTCTGCAGAAAAAGAGTGTTTCTGGAGTTGTTACGTCGTCCAGTAAATGAATGATGGTTGCATCTCTCTACTTGAGATGGAATTTACAGGAATTTGGTTATGATATATGCCCAATACAACTTCTAAGGCTTTGTTTGTAACAATGTAGTTGCTTAGAGTTTGTTCTTTAAGGTAAGAGTCTGCTCAAGTTTGAATAGGGGAGTGGTGGTTTATAGCTTTGATAGCTGTACTTTGATAACTGCTGTCTAGCAGTAGAACTTTTTGGGCAAGTAGAACATCAGGATGTTCCTGTAATTGTCTTGATGTTTTTACAGCAGTAGAACTGGATGTTGCACCAACCAAGTAACTAGAATATCAGTATTTAGGATGGGGGGGGGAAGGGGCGGCAGCATGCTTGTACGTCAGACAAAATTGTTTGTAAGGCCGTTTAACTTGACGGCCTGCTTTGTTCTATTTTTCTTTGTACTTGCTCTCTCTCTGTCTGTCTGTCTCTCTCTCTGTTAATCCCTCATTTCACAAGAATCCTATGGTGAGTCAGAAACTTTTGATCTGGACATGTATAATCATGTATTTTTAATACAGAAACCAATTCAAAGGAAAGGAAGAGTAAATAAGTCAATGCAATAGAGGTTCTGACTGAGGGCTCCATGAATTTTGGAAGTCATATGTGTGCTTTTGCAGAGCAAGATTGAATCACAGACATTTTCAGAGTGCTCTGCTTTGATCATCTTTAGATTTGTTCAAAACTGTATGTTAATTTATTGTCTTACATAGATACTTTATCCCAAGGGCAGTAACTGAGCATTTGTTGCTTGAATACAGTTTTTTTTTTTTTTTAATAATAATTTATTTTTCTTTGTTTAGAATTGGTTAAGTTTCCCAATTCTGAGGTAATGCCATTCCAATAGCCAGGACTGGAACACTTAGAAAGCACAAGGCTTTTGATTTTCTTGTGCTTGACACAGGCTGGAGGGCCCTAAGCAGTGGTTTAGCTTCATCTTCCTTAGACCTTTCTCAGCTTTCCTTACAAGGAGCTGGACTGGAAGGACAGATGGTTTTTAGCATGGAAGATAAATTATTGAACAGGGAAGGCTCCTTTTCTCATCTTCTGAGGGACAGCAGCACAGAAGAAATATGCTTTTAGATTATGGAATAAAACATGAGGAATATTCAGTGGTTGATCCTTCGAATCTTTTTTTTATTTAAGAAATTCACCACCTTTTGAACATGGCACTTCAAATTGGATTCTGAGCTGAACAGTAGAGTTAGGTGAGCAAACAGCAACAGATAAGCCTTGCTACACAATTCTTACGTTCTTGCTCACTGTGATACCTTTTTGAGACTGTAGGCTTTTTTGTAGAAATCTGAAGGAACTCACCATCCAGAAAATGGGAGTCTGTGTGAAGTTGTATGCGTGGCTGGCATAGGAAGGTGTGTGAAGTGTCTGTGGCAGTGCTTTTGTGATGAAGCTACTTATTCATTTTCAGCAGGCATGCAAACTGAGTGTTGCTTGTCAAGGAACAGTGGTGTGCTCCATTTCTTTACGCTTGCACTGAACTTTGACTGTTATCTAGAAAAAAGAGAGGCTTATGTGGAAGATGTATGTTTTCCATGAAATACATACAGGTGCTGGTTTTGTTTTTAAATAGCTGTTTTACAACTAAGACATTTGTTTGCAACAGTAATGGTCAGCTGGATTCCTAACCAAAGCCTGGGGTGCAGAGGCAAGATAAACTCAGATTTAACTGCTGCTGTTGTTAGATAAGCTGCCGTTACTATTTCGTGCTGTTGTAACGAGGGCTATGCATTTCCTTTCTCACTTCAAAGCAAGTTACTCCTGTAGCAGATATGTGTAACTTTGTTTTGATGATCCAAATGGGTAGTGTAGTCATGGATCTGAAGAGAACAGTCATGTCCTGTTGACTTGGCAGTAGCTTAGGATTTCTAATTCTGGAATTTACTTCCTCAGTATCTTACTCTGATGGTGAGGAGCTTGTGCTCATGAATGTTACTGAGGATGAATTCACCTGCAGATCATCCTTAGACTGCATTTGTTCAGAGGTGATTTAAAAGGAGTGATTTTTCTATACAAACTAAGTTTGAGAAAACCCTTAACTTGCTAAATTTATTGTGGTATTTTATTGGTTACCACTGTGCAAGTTGGTGTAGCACAATGCAGTGAATATTGTGTGTTTTGTTCACAGAGGTTTCAATTTAGTGCTTGACATTATGAGGAGAGTTCTGATAAAGATCTGTAAGGATGAAATAACCTCAGTCAATAGCAGACACCAGTTGTTGGTTCTCTGGGTGTTCAATTGCCATGTAAAGGCTTTTTCAATTCAATTCTACATCAGTATCTTCTCTGTTTTAAACAATACTTCAGTGTCCAAGAGGAGCCCTTCTTTTGGAAAAATGGTGATGAAAGCTTGCTATACTGCTCTGTAGATGAAGCAAGTAAATTGTCAACTGTCCTTATGCCTTTTTCCTGCTTTTAGACAGGCACATGCTTTTTTTAAGGTAGATTAAAGGAAAATACTCTTGTGCTTTCTCTTTGTTAAAGAACGTAATGGTTAATGTAGGCTATTTTTATTTCTAATGTGAGTAGTTTTATGCAGTGCCTAAACTAAATGACAAAGCATGATTATTTTTCAAATCATTCTAATGATTTTTTTTAGAAGTAGTGAGTTTCCCAGAGATACCAGCTGTTGGCTTTGCTTGACTTCATTGAAAGTTCTTAACTATGACTGATTTTCCTGACAAGGTGCTGGAGGAGTATGTGAAGTGACTTTTTTTTTTTTCTAGCTTGATACAGCTCTGCAAGATAATTCAGTTTGAAGTGTTTGCTGCTGCCCTTTAAGTGAGCAGGCGTAATGATTTTGTGTAGCTCTGTGGTCTAAACAAGATTACTAAAATGATAATTATAGTTAAATAAACAAAAGGTTTTTTGGTTCAATTCACTGTTGTGATGACGTAATTTGCAGCGTTCCACAAAATTGTTCTACCTAGGAAGCTGAGGGGATTATAGTAAAGGCATTAAACTGTAAACTGGTATGGATCTGAGGGGGGCAAGGAGATGGGCAAGCACAGAGATTGGAATTTGGCTTCACTTCATGTTGTGCTCTGCTGCGTGCTCGTTGTCTAATTAACACTTCTTTAGTATTTACCTTGATCCAAAAAGCAAGAGTTTGAATTTCACGCAGGTTGCAGAAGCAAAAGAATTATTTCAGATGAATGTTTGCTTTTAGATAAATATATTTTTTATATATGATAAATAAGTGGTAGAAGTCAGGTCAGCACGGGGCTGTCAGAATTTTGGGGATCTTAGATCTAACATTCCTTCAGCTTCCACTACTTAAAACAGAGGTTATAATAATTGATGCTATAAGCTTAGAGTCTTTGTGAATCAGGGTTTGCACAAACTTAATAAAAAGATCCATTTGGTCTTCTGTGCTCTATCTTCAAAAATGTTTTCTTAAACATTCTTGTTGGGGGGAGTTCCTGTAGATCTTAAATTTATGTTCATCAGTTCTCACACTTTAAGCAGATATAAACCTTGACTCAGAGCCCAGAGACATTTATGCTTTGTGTGTGGCCTATCCTGAACCTCTTGGAGAGAGACTTTATACTGAGACAAAGATTTTCTTGGAAAATCATGTACGCCATTTGCACAAGGTAACCCACGCAGTTACTGGTGTGGATAGCACTGCTTATCCTGTTTTCAACTTTGTGGAGGGTTTTTGTGTTGTTCACATGAAGTTATGCTGTTTTTTTGAGGTTAAATTAGGGATGTCAGTGGTCTGGAGAATGTCTGTGGAAGTGAGAGATCTGTCTGTATTCGTGTGTTTTGTATACCCGTTGACTTGAGAAGTAAGTTTGTTGTTCTCTGTTTAGTGTTTATATTCAAACAAGTTGTAGAAATCTCTTTATATTCCAGATGTGTTGGATGTTGTAATTAGCCTTTCGTTAAGTGTAAAATTTCACTCTAATGTCTTTAAGACAGACTGTGTCCATTCTACTGAAGAAAACTTATAAAATATATAGGAAATAAAGTAAAAAAAATAATAATTGGGAGGCAGGGAGCAATGACTGTTTATCATGAGATATAACAATTCTGTATTGATATGGCTGTAAATTCTGTGTTATCAGATAAAAGGCCTAGATTTGAGAGAGTCATGATCCATCACATTGCATGCATAGGATGGATGAACAGTGTTTCCTCGTACTTGAGCAAAAAGAGGAGTAGATTTATACATACCCCATAGACAGCTCATTCAGAGAATGAAGAATTGCAAGTATTGCTAAACTTGGTACATTATTTTTACAAGATGGGCGAGGCATTGTGGTAGGTAGTTCCACTGATTGCACGGAGGCTGCCTCTGATGCTTTGGTGGACTAAATCAGTTCAGAGAACTGTCATGCAGCTCAGTTATTTAGTGAGCTGGATGAGCTCATTTAGGCTGGGCAGGTGCCAGCTCAATGTAAACTGTTGGGAAGTAATAGAAAGCGTATGTCCACTTTTTAAACTGGCTGCCCACCATTTGTCTTTGAACTAATTTTGGAAAATCTTTGTGGAATTCATACTGCAGTGGTAAACAATCTCGGTTCCACCTTAGTCTGGTTGTTTTCCTCTTTTATGTAGCTGCTGCTTAGATTTTTTTTTTTTAATTTTTATTTTTTACTGCTGAGTTTAACACTGTGTACTCTGGAGCTGATTCCTAGGATCTCATCCTCCTTCACTACACCAGCAGCTTCTTAGAACACAAATGGCTGACATTCCAAAAGATCTGTGCCCAGTTTTATAGAATTTACGATGTGTTTAAGTTTGCACTTACATGTGCTCTTTTAATCACTTTTAAATTCCAGGATTACTGGTAAATATGATGGATTTTCAGCTAAGTTCAAATAATACTTGTTTTAAATATTCATAGTGAGTGAGGTGACTGTTCTGGTGTGCCACATGGCTGCATGGGTTTAAAACTGGTGTGCTGGCACATGAGGAAGTGGTTCTGTAGCATCCACCAGCATGTTGCAAGAGGATGAACCGTGCTTGTTCTGTAAAGGCAGATAGGAAATTAATGTATTCAGAGGTTATTCTTTTAGTATGCGAAGCAAAACAACTTCTGCTGTTGTAGTTGGCTTATCAGAACTTCACAGAAAACTTGTTAGTTTTCTGGTCATAGCAACAGTGTTATTTTCAGAGTTGCTGACGTTTAGCTGTGGTGGTCTTTCTGCTTCTGTGGTTATTCTGAAACAGTAATCCTATTACAGCTTTCAATTTATGGGTACTACTTTCTTGCTAACTTCAGGGATGTGTGTGCATGTGTTTCTTTATTCACAGAGAGTTTTGGAATCTGAAGAACAAGTACTGGTTATGTATCACAGATACTGGGAAGAATATAGCAAGGGAGCAGACTATATGGACTGTTTATACAGGTAAGCTTTGCAAATGAGTTGTTAAATTTCTGAAATTATTTCTGTTTCATAAACTGAAGAAAGTTTAAATAGGACAAGAGGAGCTGTACGTGCTGTGTCAAATTTGGAGAGAATATAGTGATCGAAGCAGAACAAAGGGGAGGGAAAAAACAACCGTTGTGCTTCAGTAGGTCTTTCTGTGCCTTGCTCATTACCACTAAATTAATTATCCAGGATGATTCCTATCATTTCTAATATAGTCTCCTTTTGTTGTTTCTGATGTTGAGACAGGTACAGTCTAGGTTTGATTACGTGTGGGCAAAATTTCATGATGTCTGCTTTGCCAATGCTAATATTTGTTTCTTATCAGAAATATTTAATTCAAACCACTAAAACCAAGTAACATGTTAAAAAATAAAATACTTCCCTCTCATTCTTCTGACAAGCCTTTGTATAGTCTGTATTCCCAAGGACACTGTAGGCCACTGTGATGTGAAAACATTGATTTGGGAGCGTGGTCACTGTATTTAGAACAGTGATCTGTTATTAGATTGCTGCCCTTAGTTGATCTAAAAATACCAAGTACATGAATGTTACTCTGTAGCCTGGCAATCTATCCCAACCATTAGTCACCCTTTTAATTGGTAAATTAATATTTGGAGTTTGTTTTTTTTTTCCACTAAAATCCTTACAAAAGAACTTCTCAGTTCATTTCTAAGTTCTTAATAACTGAAAAATTCCCCACAAAAAATGCTTGTGTTTTCCAGACATTTTCCTGACACTAACTGCTAATTTACACAGAGCTGTTCTTTGGTATTCCTCTGTCAAATACGTGTAGAGTCCTTTAACGTTCTTACAGACTTTATCACCTCTATCTGGAGAAGAATTTCAGTGGTTGTGTTTTGAGGTTTGGATACTGAAACGTATCACTGGTAGTCTGAAAGGTAACCAGCATCAGTGTTCTTACCTTGTTGGCTGTTTTTCCTGATTAGTCAGTAAAGCATAAGCCTGCACATGTGTACTTCTAAGGAATTGGTCCTGAGCTGTAGGATCAGGGTTTCAGATGCAAGTTGTCTCAATACTACTAAGAGCCTGTGGTATTTTCTTCTATTTTCAGTCCTTGTTTCCACAGTAGGTTCCTAATAAACCCTTTGGATTGTCTTCTAGAAGTAATTTCAAGTAGTTATTCAAGGTGAAAAATAGTTTATCACTTCAGTGGAGAAGCTAATGTGAGGTTATGCTGTTTGCACATCTTTTCTGTTATTTGCTCGTGCAAATAAAAGCTTGTGGGAGTTGATGTTAAGATCAGGGGAAGAGGGAAGGAAATAATGGCAAGCAGGTTTTCAGTGCTTTTGAGCCAGTGAAAAGAGTGATTCTGCCTGGCTGTTTCTTGCCACCTCCTTTTTGCTGAATCAAGTAGTTCTGCAAGAAGTGCCTGATGTAGGTTAAACTCATCTATTTACTTGTGGATGCGTTAGTTTCATGATGGATCGGTTGCCTGGTCTAAAATTGCTGACAAGATGTAACAGTGGAAGAGAAAAGAGAGAGCACAGGACTTGATGTTTTAGCTGGCATAGTAGGAAAAAGGTGGAATGGTAGCTGCTGACTTTCTTAGTATGAACAAAAAAATTGAGAAACTTGATTACTTAAACAAGGCTTGTGTTCTGGCTGTTCAGCATGTCCACACAAATTTTGTATGAACCTGTGGGGCTTCCACAGAGACGAGTATTTAAAATTCGTGATGATTATTGATGGTAGCTTAGTGTTTTATGGTACTCTGGAGTCTGAAAATAGATTAGCCCTCAGTGTTTTAGTTTGTCACCACTGCATTATCACAAGTCCTTATTTTCTTGATGCTCTGGTACCCTCAGTTCTTTCATGTTTAAAGGTTTTCATAGTATGCTTCTCCTTGTCTTCATTGCTTGTCATTTACCTTCCTGCCTGAAATGTTCAGAAGTCACTATTCTGATACAGCCTCTAAAATGTGCATCAGTTAAAGCACTTTGTTAGTCTTTTCATGTCTTTTCAGTGCCTGGAGCCAGGCGTCTCGAAACTACTAGTTGTGTATGGAGCTTTATTTGTTTGAAGTAAACTATACATGTGATAGTAAATCCTACAATAAAATTAGGCATTCATAACATTTTTCTATACAACTGCTCACGAAATTAATTTATTGATGTTAGTTTTGGACTATGTCAGTCTGTTCTCATTTGTGTTTACCCAATTACTGTAAATATTTTATTTAGACTACTGCTACTTCATAAAAATGTGTATGGATTATGGAATCCACAAAAATTCAAGATAGGGAAAGGAGTGTCACTGTAGCATGTATTTCATGAGAAGTGAATGTGTGTGTCTTAGCATTTGAATTGGCCTCGTAGCGCCATAGTGAGAAGAATTATGTCCCAGAATGACAGGCATTTTCTTTTCTCAGCAGATTTTGTCATTGAGTGCTACTGGAAGGGCCAGTAGCTGAGATTCCCTTAAATGCTTTGAGTTCACCTTTGTCAACATATATTTTTTTTTTTTTTGTATACATGTTGAGAACATAATTTTGAATACTGCCTGGAAAACAAAAATGAAAGGAATAAATTTAGCTTGATGGTCTTTCCTTCTGTGTTCTTTGTACGTTGTTCTTTGTGTTGCTTTGGCTGGGGCAATGTAATTTTCAATAATTTAATGTGATTTTCAAGTTGTTCTTGTAATCAGTGATCTTTATAATGTTGCTCTTTTGTATGTTCCCTTTGGGGATACTGAAGTTAGCCAGGATTGCATAACCTGCTTTTTCTTCTTTTTCTCCAAGTAGAAAATGCATTCATAATTTACATAGATAATGACTTCTCTGCAATAGTGGAAAAAGTAATGATTGCGTGAGTTGTGGTGCCTAAACTCCATTATAACAAATAATATTTTAGACTGAGAGAAATGCAAAATAATGAACAGAATAGGTAGAAGTGTATGTTTTACTTCAATGACAACAATAGAACAACTAATGAAAAAAATCCTGAAGTGAAACATAATAGTCAAGAACTTTCTTCTACACTAAAAAATTAAGAAATTATCATCACTGTAGTATGGGCTGTTCGGGATTTAGGAGTTTAACTTGTAAGTGCAAATACAATATGTCTGTTTAGTTTGAAACACTGGCTCCTTGAACACCTGCACTGGATACCAAGGAAATGCTGACGGTGATGCAGGCTGTTGTTTAGTATTTGATTTTCTTCACAGTGTTGCTTTAATATGGTATAAAGTGCATTAGAATGAAAGTAGTCTGCATTAGAAGAATTTCCTGCAGGTAGCAGTGGCATTGCTTGAAAGTAGTTGTCTTTTCTGATGTAAAGATGTTCCAAATTTGTTTTCAAAAACTACTAGCTTAACTTTTTCTGTGTTTTAATTGGAATATGTTTATTTTTACTAGGTACCTCAACACACAGTTTATTAAGAAGAACAAATTGACTGAAGCTGATCTTCAGTATGGTTATGGTGGTGTGGATATGAATGAACCACTGATGGAAATAGGAGAGGTAGGTATTTCAGAAAATGAACTCTATTTTGCTGCACTACATGTTCAGCTTTGTTCTTTTAAATGTTGACTTCTCCATGTCATGGAATCTGAATAGTTAAGTAGAAGATGTAAGCATGGAATCCTTCTGAAAGTAAGATGGCATTTTTGATGTAAAAGAAAAAAAAAAAAGAGACCTGTATGGAGGGAAATCAAATATGAGTACTGTTGGAGAACTTCAGTTCAAAATGTTATAATATAGATCATTTTTTGAATAAAATATATTTTTCTTAAAGTGGCGTTATCATGTAGAAAACATTTCTATGAAGTGCTTCTGTTTTGATCAACTTTGGAAAAATTAGTTCTAGACTTACATTTTTGATGTTGCAAAGTGTAACAGCTTTTTTTACAGCAACTGTGTTATTTTCCAGTCGAAGCAATTCAGCCATAGCAGCTCAGATTTTAGAAGAAGTGGACATTCAGTGCAATTAAGTGTTGTGCAAGAAGGGATTATGTAAAAATCAAAACAAAACAATGAAGAAAAGTAATTGAAGTAAACATAAATGCGTTGATGCCCACAGTTGCTTAGGTAGTTTGGTAGTAGTGCATTCTGACATAGCACACTGTGCAATTCTGCTCTGCAGAAGTGAGGTGTACATACTTTCTGTCATTTCTTGGCTACTGTTGTAGCTGTGTAGCTGAGTAATGAAAGAAAATGAGGTGAAAAATTTCCTGTTGCAAAAACAAAAAACAAAAAAAAAAAAACAAAAACAAAAACAAAACCCACAGATTTTATTGAAACAGAATGATTCTGGTTGTCTTTAAGGAGATTTTGATAGTATCTCTTCAGTTTGAACTAGGGTAGAACCGTAGTCCAAAATGCAGTTGAATATAAACTTTGCTTTTGAATACTTTGTGTGTCTCTCCCCCTTGTATCTGTAACAAGTATGTACACAATGGTAGGTAGGTAATTTATTTTAATGGTGGTGGATTTTTTTTCCCCTTTTCTCTCTACCTTTGTGTTTTTCTCTAGAAGAGAAGCAAATATTTTCCTCTCCTGACTTAGAGAAGTGAAGAATGACTTTTTATTTGGCCTGTCAAATCACTGTTCTTCTAGCTTTTGGATTTCATTGCCTCAAGTAGGAGATCTCTGCTGTCATTGTTGAGAGTAGAGAGATTGTGATGCCTGAGGAAGCATCTTTTATGCTGAAGAAGGTGACACTGTCAGTTCAAGTTGCTAATCTTTTGACAGGTTGGGGGTGGCCTGGAAAAACACCAGAAGCATGATATGCTTTAGATCGAGGCAGTTTAGAAAAGGAACTACTTCTTTTCTACCTGTGCTGTCTGCACAGTTTGCTAACTTACGGCGTCTGTAAAGGTTTGTTAGAGCTTGGAAGTGAATATTGCCTCACTTTTTGTGATGTCTTGATAATGCCTTAAACATTTGTGATTTCCATAAGTTGTGTGTTAGCTGACTCCTTCACCATTGCTGGAGGTAGTTCTTAGCTCTGTGCAGAGCAGTTAGTTTTACTGTTTCAGGGGCTGGGAATGGTTTTGGACTATGTTCCTGGAATGCAGAGTTGGTGTCCTGGTCTATTTTTTATTATCTCCCAAAGGATAGTAGTAGCTAGTTTGCATTTTGTCCACACTTTCTGCCCTAGTATATGTTTTCAGAGAACGAATAGTAGGCTTGATAATTCATCTTCTGAGAGTATTCCTCTCATTTATGGAGTCATAGATTGGGGTGGGAGTAGGGGGGAGTGGTGATGACACAATTGTCTTCAAGCTTACCAGAAACTGCTCTTCGGACAGTATATCCATAGCTCAGAATTTGAATAGGTTAAGTGGACATTCAAGGTTGTGAAACTGCAGCAGGCAGTCTATGGTTTTTGACGGCATTCTGGATGCTGATGTCTGAAATTCTACCAGCCACCTTTTGTTAATCTTGCTGCCCACTATTGCTTCCATTTCTCTCAATCAAATACTATCTTTGTAAGCTGTAATAGTGCTGGGTAAATTTTAGATCTTGAGATAGTGATGTTCACCTCTGTTCATTACTAGGATAGGAATGGATTTATGGCAGTTTTTCCTTTGCTCTGGAAAGCAGCGCAGATCCTACCTTCCAGTAGTTAAAGCACATTAAATTATAGCACTGTTTATGGCAAATTCCATGTCCCTTTAGTAAAAAAAAAAAACAAAAAACAAAAAACAAACAAAAAAAAACTATTCACGTTTGACCTTTTTGGCAAGGCATTGGCCAAATATGTCAAGTCTTTGCTTTGAAAGCATTTTCCCTTTTAATATAGTGCTGTCTTCTAATCTTTGAATTCCTCTAGGGGCTTTGTCCAAAGGCAGTCTTCAATGTTCTTCACTTTAAAATGAAAGAAGTTACCATTCGTCTGTTTTTGGGTAACTGTCCTTTCTCTATCCAAGAGTAAACAAGCTTATTTTATGTTCTCAGTCTTATAAGAAAGTTACAGAAATTATGTCTAATATTTAGATTTTATAGAAGGAGTGTTGTTGCACTGAAGTTTCATGAGCACATGCTGAGTGATGCTGAAACAGAAACTTTAGGGGCTTTTCAGTTGTCTTATTTAAGAGCACGAGCTTGCTTAGTGCTTCTGGAGTATGTAACATGGTACATTCCAGACATGCTGGAAGTATGTATGAGGAGTGTATGGGCATGACTTCAAACACCCAGTAAGTGCTCCAGACACTCGGTAGTTCTTGTACTAGGAGAAGTACAAGACGAGAACAGGAGGGCATCTAATGATTTAATTTTTAAATCTTGATTGGGGAATTGAGAGTTCATCCATCTTTATTTATTTATTTATTTTTTTAATATATATATTTTTTTTTAACTGGTGTAAACTTGTGATGTTATGTCCTCACAGCTAGCTCTTGATATGTGGAGAAAATTAATGATTGAGCCACTACAGGCCATCCTTATTCGAATGCTCCTCCGAGAAATCAAAAAGTGAGTGCTTGGATTTTTTTTTTTTGCTTTTACAGTTTGTGGGGGTGTTGTATTGCTTTATTTTGAAAAGTCTGTGGACTCTGATCAAATTATTTTCAGTTTGATTAAAGGCAGCTTCTTAGCTGATGATGCTGTTCTGTCAGCTTTTATACGTGTAGCTGTATAATTGCTATTTGCTTCAATAGGAAAAAAAGCTCACTCATTGTAATCCAAAAGCAGTGATCTTTTTTGTTTCAGCTACCTGTCTTAATAATAGGTTTGGGGAATAGCTGAAATAATTCTCCAGGGCCCAAAGAATGCCTTTTGACTTTTTTTCCATCTGGTGCTTACTGCTTCTGGTTCCTGTGCTGTCTGTAAACATAAGCTGTTACGCAAGGATTTGCTGAAGCCAGAATTGCTTTAAATGGGACCCAGAGCAATTCTTGCTTATCTGCAACATCTGAGCTTCTATGATTCACATGAGTGACTTAACACTATTGGTGCTTGACTTTAATTGTGAAATGGAAGTAATTATTTTTGGATTTTTAGGGAGTTTATTTGTGAATATCTTTGATGCTTTAAGTCCCTGCTAATTCCAAAATAGATACAGTTGTAGTATCCCCATGAAATGCTTGCAGCTTTTGAAGTTCTGATTTTAAATCTTTATGCTATTTAACTCCTCTAAGATCTTTTCAAATTCTCTGATTATTTATCCCAGCATGTGTTATTTATACAAGTATTTGTGTGTAGTTTTGAGTTCGATCAGTTTCTACACTTCTGTTGCTGGTTAGCTGCTCTGGAGTTGCTTAATGACTGCAATGATTGCGTGCCTAATTAGCTTAGGTGATGTGGCTAATATGCATAAACTGAAAGAATGAATTACTTTGGCTGATTGAGATGCTTTGAATGTGCACTTGGGTCAGCCAAAAAGCTGTATTCATGAAGCATGAGAAAACTGATTCCAATCATATTTTGCTTTCCTTCCTAAACTAATTTTTTGACTATTTAGTAAGTGACATCATGTTCTTCTCAGATAGTTTTTCTGATATCAGGAAGTACATGTTTGCTTTCAGTTGTTGAACCATGCTTCGTTATCAGTGCTAAAACAGCTTCTTTTATATGTTTACTGTAATAATTATATTACGTATTTGTATTTACTAAATGAAGATTCCCTGATTCATGTTGAAGGAAATTCTTCTGCCTTTTTACATCAAGCACAGTGACACTGAACACTCATTGGATCAATCTATGTATTTCAGTGGGAGGTGACAACAGAAATCTGTTTAAAACTTGTTGAAACAGATATGTGATGCCTCTTAAAAGTAGTGCTATGTAATTAATTAGAGCCTGACTGCAGACCTTGCCAGGAGTATTTAGGTCAATAGCTTCAGAGGGTGTTAGTCCTTAAGAGACTGTATCCTGTTAATGCTATTTGTTGAACATTTTCAAACTTTTTTAAAATATAACTTAAGTCATTATCTAAAATAATGGCTCTGTATTTTCTTTTCCTCTCTTCCTAAGAATTCTTCAGTTTGATTTTGCTATGGCTTCATCTCCTTTTTCAAAACATCCATTTGTGTTAGCTTTGTTTTAGCTAACTTGTGATCTGCGTGTTGTGTGAATGGTCACAGAATCACAGAATTGTAGGACTTGGAAGGGATCTCTAGAGATAATCGAGACCAACCCCCCTGCAAAGCAGGCTCCAGAAAGAACCATGTAGAAGAGAACTTAGTATTATAGGTGTACTTCCTGGTGTCATGAAACACAGGCATCGCTGTTTGTGTTCTGAAGATTGCCTTAGTATGTAGTATTCTTGTTGCTGTTCTTTGCTATTGATCCTCTGGTCAGTGTGGTTTACAAGAGATAATTTTCAAGACTTTGCTGCAAACAGATGATAATTGCCTTTTACCATTGAGTTAAGCAAATCAGAGATTAAACCAAGGCTTTAAAGGAACAGATATCAGAAGGTGCATCTGTCAGAAGTTCAAGAATATGCATGATATTTGCCTAACATAAATAATATAAAATAATAAAATTAATACGAGTACTAATACATATATAATTAGAAATCTATTAGTTGGATGCTTTCTTCAGAGCAAAACTTAAACATGTGCACAGTTTAACTTATTAAAACTTATTTTACAGAAGAGGAATTTAAATGGATGGATGAGCTTCTTATAAACAAAAGATTTTGCATTGTACACGACAGTATGCAGAGCTAATAGCCAACAGACTAGTCACATGTTTGTATATAAAAGTACGTTTTCACTGTACTGGAAAAGGTATGAGAACTAGAGTCATAAGTTTTGTGTTCAGTGTTTATTGTATAAATGTATAGAACTGGAATTTCTAAAAACTGCTGACTGAAGTCCTACATCGGCTTTATAGAAGGTATAAACTTTGGCAGTACACTCTACATTAAAATTAATATTGAATCATTTATGATCCAGCTGAACAAGGTGGTTAAATTGATCTAAGAGTATGCTGGTGCCGAAAAAGAGCAGGCTGTACCATAGTACCTTTCTTGTGCTGACTTTGGTGCTTACCTAATACCTTACTGAACTGACTCAACAGTTAATGGGATAGAAAACCATCTTCACTGAATATTTCTCTGAATTGTCATGATTAATCAGTTGAGCAGAGAACTACGTAAGTGTCAGAGCCATGCAAGAAAGATGCAGAAGGCCATGACTGAGCAAAAGACCAGGATTAGCCTCCTTGAACAGCAGAGAGTTGTTACATCACTTAAGCCTGTCTTGTCTGACTGCACTTCTCTTAAAATAGAGTTCTGAATATAACACACTTTCTTCCCCCTCCCTCTAGCCCAAGCACTCCTTCTTCAAGTCAAGCTGAATATCAACTTAAGCATTTTTGTTTCAACACAACAGGAGGCCGACAAGATCTTGAATTGTGAGAAAATTCATCATGAAATTCTTAAATAATTTGGAAGCTATTCAGGTGGTAGCTCAAATGACAGTGTGATTAGTGCAGACTAACCAGAAGAGGCTTCTCTACTAATGACAACTAACACTTTATAACTAACTGAACCTATTCCTGTCTAAGCGGATATATTTGTCATTCACCTAAAATCTGTTGGATATTAATAAATTATTAAAAAAAAAAAAATCCCAAACAGGCTCTTTTGGTCTACAGTGCATTCTGAAGTTAATTGAACTAGATAGGCCATTGGTCTGACACAGCAGAACACTTCCTTTTTGTGATGGAATCATCTTTTAATGAATACAGTATTTATTGTTTTATGCTTTCCTTTATATATGTTATTAATGGATATAGTAATAAACTGTACAGTCAGTACATGTTAAACTTCCACTGTTACTATTAGTTTTAAGGCTAAAAAAGCCTTAAACATAAACAGTACAATTGTCTTGAACTTCTATTTTGTTGTTTTCTCCATTCATTTTTGAGAAAAAGAACTAGATAATCAGAATTGGAAGAGATTTTGTTTCTATTTCCTTGTTTTAGCTAGATTCTCCACATTATTCATACATTCCTTCCTACCTTACCTGTGACATCCCTACTTCAAATTGTGCAGCAGCTGTTTCTGTAGCAGTATGTGTTTGTATTGCCTGCTGACTGCCACCAACTACAGAATATACGGAATGGGTATTCACATTGATGGGTCACCAGTTCCTTGTTAGTGTTCAGTATCTTCTTATCACTACACCTCCCATCGCGGTAGTCCTTTAAACTTTCTGTAACACCTGAGATTCCTGTCACGTTTTCTGAAACTGGCCATTTGCTGTGTGAATTCTTGGGAGCACAGTGCCATTTGAGAGTCATAGAATGATAGATAAGAGACATACTCTTATCTTGGAAACTGTGTGGCTTTTCAGATACGGTCCCTATGAAGTTCTGTCAATAAATTTTGCAACAACTTTACTGCAAATGTTTAGTGCTCACACATTGAGGAAACTTATGTTAAACTGCTTAAAATTCTGTGAGTATTGAAGGAAAAAAGAACTGGGAGCATGGTTGTCTGTTAAATATTTTTTGGCAGTTCTGCTTTTTATGGCAGGAAAATATGATCTTAGTTAAGCTATTAAAGTTGTAAAAATCGGCAAGCTTTGTTATCAAGTGAATTGAGTAGTGTGTAATTTTCCTGACTGTAAGAATTTTGTTCTGTATCTTTCATCTGATTAGTGACAATGTCCTCTTGGTTCACAAGCAGACTTCAGTTCCTGCTTCTTTTTATAGTGTACTACCAGCTATTCCCAAGAAAGCCAGTTCCCTGTTGTATTCATTTTCCTATATTGTCAGCATGCTGTATGGCCTCTGCTTCTAAAACCTCTCTTCTTTCTTTCAGTTTGGGCCCGAAGCCGTGTCTTCCTCCTTCACTTATAAACTTTGTCCAAATTATAAACTGACCTTTCAAGTTCCTTATCTTAACTTTTGCTGCCCCATCTTCTCTGGCATCTGCATAGGCTAAGGTTTGTGAAATAAAATGAGCATAGGGGGAAACTGGCTTTTCCACTGTTAATGTAATGTTTCTTGTGTTTGTCACCCGTATCACAGAAACCACAGAATCATAGGGTTTAGAAAGAACCTCTAGAGATCAGCTAGACTAAACCCCTTCTAAAGGAAGTTCCCTAGAATACACTGCACAGCATCCAGGCGTGTTTTGAACATCTATGGAGGAGCAGATTGTACAACCTCTCTGCGCAGCAGCTTTTAGTGTTCTATCACACTCAAAATAAAGAATTTCTTCAATGTTCAGATACAACTTTGGGTGTTCCAGTTCGTGATCATTGCTCCTTGTCCTGTTGGTGGGTAGCAGGAAGAAGAGCCTGGCTTTATCAATTTAGTTCCTGTACTTTAGTTTTCTTCTAAACAGTGATGAAGTCCTATCTTCTCTTCTCTAGGCTAAACTGTCCCAGCCTTTCCTCATAAGAGAGATGCACCAGGTCCCTAATGTTCTTTGTGGCCCCCTGCTGAATTCCTCATCTTTCTTGAACTGGGGAGCCCAGAACTGGACACAGTTCTCCAGATGTGGCCTCATCAGGGCCCAGAAGAGGGTGAGGATTACTTCCCTCAACTTGCTGGCCATAGTTTTTTTTTTTTAATGCACATTCCAGGATACCATTGGCCTTCTTGGCTGCAGAGCCATGTTGCTCTGCTATCTTGTGGTTGCTGCAGTGAAGGCTGCCCCGACCTTCACATGGGCAGCGAGTCCATTATTGGTAAGTTACAAGGTCCAGCAGTGCAGCTCTCTTCACTGGCTCCACCACTTGGACTAGGAAGTTATACAATCATAGAACTGTTTGAGTTGGAAGGGACCTTCAAAGGTCTAGTCCCACTCCCCTGCAAAAACAGGGACATGTACAGCCAGATCAGGATGCCTAGGGCCTGATGCAGCCTGATACTGAATGTCTCCAAGGGTGGAACATTTACCACATCTCAAGGCAACCTGTTGCAGTGCTTCACTGCCCTTAATGTAATAAACTTTTTCCTTGTATTTGGTCTAAATATCTCCATTTTTAGTGTGAAATCATTTCCTCTTGTCCTTTCACAATGGAACCTGTTGAAGAGTCTGTCTCCTTCTTCCTTACAGCCCCTCTGTTGATATTGAAAGGCTGCACTCAGATCAGCTTCTCTTTTCCAGGCTGAACAGCCCCAGCTCTCTCAGCCTGTCCTCATAGGAGAGATATTCCATTCCTTTGATCATTTCTGTGGTCCTTTTCTGGATGTACTAAACAGGTCCATGTTTCTCCTGTACTGAGGAACTCTACATCTGGACACGGTACTCCATGTAAGGTCTCACCAGCGCAGAGCAGAGGGGCAGGATCAGCTCACTTGACCTGCTGGTCATGAGTTTTTTTGAAGAATGCATTTGGCTTTCTGGGCTGTGAGGGCATGTTGCTATCTTATGCCGTCCACCAGTAACCCAAGCCTTTTTCTGCAGAGCTGCGCTCAACACGCTCTGTGATCCTCCTAGATTGCTTGCATCCATCTTTTCAGGTCCAGTACCCTGCATGCTAGAGGCAGGTTGGACCATTTCATGACAAAGCCCAGCTTTTTTAATAGGCTGAACTCCTAATTTTGTAGATTCTGCACTTCTTGGTATTTTTTGTATTCAGATTTGATGCATCCTGTAGCTAACCCTGCTGGTAGATTCCTCTTGGGTAGAAGTGGTTCCGAGTCATGATCTTGAACTTCTTCCCTTCTGTGACAAGCTGCCACCTCTGCCATCAGGAAACCAAACCTAGTAAAGGAACATTGGAAAGAATGCGTCGCGTGATTACGTGTACACTAACTCAGATTTATTATGCTGGTTCAGCTACGAGCAACAGAGGAAACCTCCATTCTATCTCCTATGGGAGGTAGGAAAAAAATCTTAATGCCTATCCGTAAGCTTAAACCTAAAAATCTTAGGAAGCAGCAGTATTTAAAAGAAAAACATAATGTTGTGAACATGGGACTGTGATCTGGTATTTGTCACAGCATGACTGCCTGTGGCTGTCCTGTTAAACCTCCCTAGCTTATGGGCATCCTCTGCATTGATTCTATCAATTCCAAAACAAAATGAAATTAGCAAGATAATTTCTCTTTGGTTCCACCCCAACCTAGATGGATGTATGTCAGTGTTTTGGTTTGAAGTATTTTTTGCTGGCTTTACTTCTTTTTCCTTTTAATTTTAAGTAACTGACTTTCCTGTAGTAATCACAGGATTGCAGTTGGGGAACTGACTTTGTCTTTTCAGTGCAGTCTGGGTAAGATTCTTAGTATATCTATAAATATATATGTATATATATTTACATATATAATCTAAGAAATGGAATTACAACTACTGACTTATGTACGCTTTGAAAAACATAAATTTTTTAATCGTATTTACATTTTATATTATACATATGTATATATATACATGTATATATACATTTACATTTTATATTATAAGTGTAAATTAAGGAATATGTTATATTTCTTTGTCAGGTGTATGTGAGGTGGCCTTTTTTTAGAACAGTTTATGTTTCAAGAGTGCCTTGGTTGTTATGAGAGGGTCTGTTATTTTCAGTCTTTGCAAAAGATTGGATATTGATACTTCCAGTATGCATAAAACTTTTAAAATTACTTTTGTTTTCAACTGAATGGAACTAAGGAAAACTTTTTTTTTCATTTGAATTGAGTCATTTGAAGCTAAGAAATTGACCAGAAAATGTAGGGTTTCCTTTTACAATGTATAGTTAAAAGTCATGCCAAGTATATTGTTCTGTTTGATATCTGCATGTTGATTGAGTAGTAGATATTCAGAAAATAACATACTGTGCTTGGCAAAAATGATTTTCTTTGGCAGGGGTGGGAAGGTAAAGGGTTATGAATTGCCATCTCAACATCTATTGGAGAGAAGGAAGAGCATATTTATTTATTTAAAGATAATCTTTATGTACTTATGTATTTATCTTTCTTTTTAAGCAGAGGAATTTAGTGGAAAATATTTCTGTCCACTGCTAAATTAATTCATTTTGCTATCCAATTAATTATGCTACATAATTGCATTCTCATGAATGTTTGTTTTGCTAATTTCAGTGATCGCTGTGGAGAAGATCCAAACCAGAAAGTAATCCATGGGGTTATTAACTCCTTTGTTCATGTTGAACAGTATAAGAAAAAATTGCCCCTAAAGGTAGATACACATTCCTGATTTATGGTTTTCATTGTGAATATTAATGTGGCTTATGTATTATTTGCCATTATTTAGCCTTTAAAAAAAATTTCCTTTTTAGTTTTATCAGGAAATTTTTGAGTGTCCTTTTCTGAATGAAACAGGGGAGTATTATAAACAAGAAGCTTCAAATTTATTGCAAGAATCAAATTGCTCACAATACATGGAGAAGGTAAGAGATTTTTCCGTACACATGCAATAACTAAAATCTAAGATTATCAGTACATTATTGATTCAGAATTTCGCTGTTATTTTCCTATATTTGTTCTTTCTTGTCTGCTTTCTTGCAGTTTGAGATCATTTTGGTGGTATGGTTTATCTAAGTTTAGACTACAAACTTTGCCTATGAATAGATAGCTTCAAAATAGTTTATAACAAATCATAAATCAGTTGCATGGAACGTAAAAATAAATAAATATAGATTTTTAAAATAAACACCATTAAGTGGTCATTGTTATTTTTGTTATTTCCTCAAATATTTCCTCAAAAATTCCTTTATTTTACTTCCATCTATAATAGTATAAGGTACAAGTTTTAGTACTATAATGGTTAAGGAGGATTTTATAGCAGATTAATTACAGAGCCTTTTTTCAAATTGTGTATTCCAAAGTTGGTTTCGTTTTATTTTGCGTTGTGATCTGTGTAGTCAGTTTGTCGTTAAATTATTTGTACTTTTGTTGAGAAGGAAGAAATTAATACGAGACTAGGGAGTTCTCAGTGCAAAGCTGCTCTCCATAAGAAGACAAAGGAATTGAGAAGGCTGTGAGATTGCTGGTAATTGTAAGGAGCATAAGCTAACGCTTGGACACCTGAGATGAGATTCAGGATCAGGCTAAGAGTTTAACTATTAGACTTCTAGCAGTGTCTGAGCCTAGTCTGAACTTCCTGTTCCAAAAGAACAAATTTAATATTTCAGCATCCTGGGCCAAGTATTTTTTACCTTCTGTTATTTGTGGCTCTTATTCTACATATTTATACTGTTCATGGTTCTACACTGTCTGTTCATATTTCATCTACTCTCAGCTTGAAAACTTGTTTGTAGGTTTTAGGTAGATTGAAAGATGAAGAAATGCGGTGTCGGAAATACTTGCATCCCAGCTCATATGGTAAAGTGATTCATGAGTGCCAGCAGAGAATGGTAGCTGATCACTTGCAGTTTCTACATGCAGAATGTCACAATATTATCAGACAAGAGAAGAGAAGTGGTAAGACTCACTGATCTCAAAAAGCATGGAGTTGTTGTTGTTTTACTCATTTAGCATTTGCAATTAGCTTTATTTAGTGACCTTTGATTAGTGTGAGCATTTTCAAATAATATATATTACTTACATAGAAAGCTCAATGAAATTTCAAATGCTATTTATCTTTTACTGCTTAATTCATTATCCTTCTCCCAAAGATATAGTCAAGACCTTCTTTTTCCACTTGACTGCTAACATGTCTTCTTTTGGACAATACTCTTCTCCTTTCCTTATTCAGTTTAAAAAGACACTAAAGTTTTATGTCCTGTAGAATATTTTATGCTTGTGTTTTCATTTGTAAACCAATGGCTCTGTCTTTACGGATTTCTTCATCTTTACTGGGCAGGTCAGGACTGTAAACCTTGGCTTTTTTTAATAGTCACTTTTATTGTCTTGAATCTTTTATGACTTCTCCTCCCAAATTCTTTTTGCAGAAGCAGATGTTCTTACAGTTATATTCCCTCCTAACTAAAATAAAAAATACATTTCCTGTTGACTCCATGCCTTCTGGCCATGAAGGAATAGTTATTCTTGTATGAAGGATGCTATCTATTATCTGAAACAAATTATTTTTCACTGTTAAATTGAAAATGTATATGGTAATAGTGTCCATATTCCAGACAGTTATGCACAATTGATCAGTCTTTTTTTTTTTCTTTTTTTTTTTTTTTTTTCCCCTTCCATAAAATTAATAAAAATAGCAGTTGCTTATTTACATGTTTTCTAACCAGAGAAAAACTTCAAGCCACCTTTGGAAGAACATATAAAGTCAAGAAGACATCAGAACTAGTCGTAGTCAGCTGCTGCTACCAGCATAGTACCTTACCAGGCTACCTCTACTCTTGGAGTCTGTCCTAGATAAGCAGTGTAGGAAGAATAAGGGAGCCCCAGTGGCAGTAAATACTGGTATTCGCCCTATGCTTTCCTTTTCTTTTGTCAGTGATTCAGTGTATGTTGGTTTTTCTCTTTTTTTTCAAAGCAGTTGTTGTTTCAGTGTTCGAAAGTTCTGTGTGAAATTATGATTCTATATTAAGTGTTGATTTTTAGTGTTTCTAAACATATTCAATAAAATATGTCTCTGTTACAGACATGGCAAATATGTATACTCTACTTCGTGCTGTGTCAAGTGGTTTACCTCATATGATTCAGGAACTACAAAACCATATCCATGATGAGGGCCTTAGAGCAACCAGCAATCTTTCTCAGGAAAATGTGAGTTTTTTTAGGCAGCTGGAATTGCCTATTTGATTAACATTCCTAATGAAATGCTTACCTTTTTCTTTTTAGTCTATTATGTTCTTTAATTTTGTCTATATGAAATTGGTTTGGAAGTTTATGGATAAATTGTAGTTTCTAATCAGCAATCTTAGCTGTGCAACACATATCTATCCTGAGAGTTGATTGTTGTGATCTAACCAGAAGCAACTACGAATAGATACTTTTCATTACTCCTTGTTTAATGCTGTTATGGCAAGTAGGTCCTTTTCTTGTATGTATATCTTTTATGCCTGAGTCAGTGGCATTTGTTGATCTGGTGTGATAGCAGTCATCAGTACCACTTAGTTTAATTGTGTGTCGTGTGTAAAGACGTGGCATCCTGTCCTGATTTGTGTTTCTCACAAGTATTTTTGTGGTCTGATGTTTGCATTTGAATTCTGAAAATATGGTAGCTTAATTGTTCTACCAAAGTGTTTGGTTGTTTTTTTTTTTTTTCAATTCATGTGCATTTAAATTATGCAATTTGATTTTTGTTCCTCTAGTATTACTGTTTAGGGAGAAAAAGCGTGGTATTATATTTGTACATTTATACATTTTGATGTCTAGATCTGTAAAGGATAATTACTTTGGCTATTCAGTGGTTCTGTATATAAAGATACATAGATAGTAGCTGTTGTAAATCACCTTTTGTTAACTCCACAGGAGTCTATGTACTTTTTGTAACTTCTGTGTGCCTTCTGAAAATGGATTGAAGTATTTAGGAGTTTTTTTTGCTTTCAAGAAATTAAATCTACTGAGCATGTTCCTTCAAATGAATACTGCCTACACAAGGGAATGAATACACATCCAAGAGAGTGATGATTATTCGCAGCGTTGCATTGCTAAAAGCAAAATATGAAATCCTTGGTCTTGCTTTGTGCTTTGGCATCAAAACATTTTTCATTGAGAATGCACTGAAGTGATATGAGTACATTACACAGCCTTATATTGCAGCCTGCTGTATTGTTTGTGTAGGGGCTCCTTGAATTCACATTAATTTTTTCCATACAAAATGTTTTTGCTGAAATGTGATACACTAAATTTGATTGGTAACTTATGTTTAAGAAAGTTGAAAGGTTTCATCCCGCTTTCTATCTTCAGGATCTGTATATAGGAAAAGAAATATTTTACTAACTCCAGCAGCTTTTTCACTCAATTCCTGTATTTATGTCTTAGCAGTTTTCAAAATGCTGATAGAGGATATGAGAATATTATGGAAAAGATGACAGAACATGAGAGCTGTATAGACTCTCAAATATATTATTGGCTGGAAATATAGCTATGTAATTTTTGTTTTCTAAACATGCTCAAGAACAGTAGTGCAGAAGTATGACACTTCAGAATCAATCCACTCAGAGACTTTATTATCAGTGATTTTAACTTGTATCAGAAGGAATAGTTAGAAAAAGCAATACAACCAGTGTAGCTATAACTATGTTTGTGTATAGAAAATATTCCTTTTCTTAGTAACTTGCTCTCTGTATTATCTTGCCTTTTTTTTAGATGCCAACTCAGTTCGTGGAGTCGGTTTTGGAAGTACATAGTAAATTTGTTCAGCTCATCAACACAGTTTTGAATGGTGATCAACACTTTATGAGTGCCCTTGACAAGGTAACTTTTACTTCCAAGATACAAAGAAAACATGAAAAACAAAATGTGGAGGCCTGTTTCAGGCACATCAGAATTCTTTGGGGTACCAATGCATGCTTACTGGTAGCATTCTCATGTAGTTTTTCTAGCCTAAAATTGAAACACAGAAGAACTTTCAGTGTTTGGGAAAAATACACGTACAAAGGAAACCAGGTTAATGCTTAACATTTTATTGAAATTTTACTGAAGATGTTTGCATCAAAAAGCAGAACACAAAAGCGGAGCTGACCCATTTAATGTAAATTTAAGTGCAGAAAATAAACTCTGAGACATTTGGCAATTTTCTACTCAACATTGTTGAGTCTGCGCCTGGAGTACTGTGCCCAGTTCTGGGGATCCCAGTACAGGGGAGACATGGTCTTCCACACACTGGGCTCTGTCAGGACAGTAAAGGGAGTGGGATTTGTCTTCTCTGAAGAGAGGCTGAGGAAGCTGAGGCTGCTTAACCTTGAGGAGAGGAGGCTCAGGGAAATCTTATCAATGTCTACAAATACCTGGGAGGAGGATGCAAATGAAGATACAGCCAGGCTCTTTTCAGTAGCGCTCAGTGCCAGAGGAAAGAAAAAAAAAGCAATGGGCACAAACTGGAACACAGGAGTTTCTGTGTAAACAACAAGAAGCAGTTCTGTACTGCTCAGGTAATGTAACACTGGCACAGTTTGCTTGCAGAGGTTGTGGGATCTCCTCCTTAGAGGCTTTGTGAAAAGTTGCCTGGATGTGGGCCTGGGCAACCGGCCTGTGGGTGGCTTTGACTGAGGAGGAGCGATGGACCAAGTGACCTCCAGAGGTCCCTTCCTACCTCAATGATTCTGTGATAATTCTTACATAAAATTTGAACTTGTATTTGCTTCTTTAATGGTTAAACTCTGAGTGCTGATAATTTTAAAGAGCAGCTTTGTGTAGATAGAATCATGGTCAGAAGGGACCTTTAAAGGTTATCTAGTCCAACTCCCCTGCAGTGAACGGGGACATTCAGAGCTAGCTAAGTTACTCAGGGATGACCTTGAAGTTACCAGCCTGACCTTGAATGTCTCCAGGGACAGGGCAGCCACGGCATTTCTGGACAACCTTTTTCAGTGCCTCACCACCCTCGCTATAGAAGACTTATTCCTTATATCTAACAGAAATTTACTCTCCTTAAACTTGAAACCATTTCTTCTTGTTCTCTCACAACAGACCCTGTTAAATTGTCCCCTTCTTTCCTGTAGCTCTCCCTTAGATATTGAAAGGCCACTATAGGGTCACCTCACAGCCTTCTCCAGGCTTAACAGTCCCAGGTCTCTCAGCCTGTCCTCATAGGAGAGATGTTCCATTCCTTGGATGATTTTTGTGTCCCTCTAGACACTCTGTGCAAGCTAACTACGAAGATTACCTAAAAATTGTTATTACTTCAGTTGCTGATCACAATAACTAGCTTTTTCCAAGAGACAACTACAGTTGAAGTTAAATAAGCATGATTAGGGAAAGAGGCTTGCATTACTTCTTTGTGGAATGCGTAGCTATGAAGATACTAAAGATAACACTACTAATTGTTATAATTTCTGTAACAGACTGATGGTGCAAAATATGCCTGGATTCTTGTGAGATTGAGTGGTTCCTTCTCAAAGAAGAACACATTATCTAATCCATTTTTTTTACTTTTCCAGATATATCATTGTATTTTCCTGGAGAGTGAACTTATTAACTTCCTATCTATAATTTTAAGCTACCAAATACATACATTTCATTACTATTTTGTGGTACTCTTTTTACAGTAGCAGGAATTTATAGAGTCTTATTCAAAGCTTTAGATGAATTTCAGCCAAGGTTAGTTTGGGAAGACATAGTGATGAATATGTAAACAATCAAATCATTGGTAACTGTCTGTATCTGTGATATTGAGAAATTAATTACTCAGTATTTTTAAACGTGCTTATTTCAGTACTCTCATGCATCTCAATTGCAATTAATCATTTACTGGGAGGTGGAATAATATGAGATTGACGGCTACTTTTGCTGGCAGATAGGCAGTATACTTTTTCTTGAGGTACTTCTTTACTTTGCTCTACTTTATTACAATAGATATTTAAGATTTTAATCTGTTGCCAGTTTTCCATGATCAGTATGAAAATTGCTGATGTTGTCTCCATTATCATTACAAGAGAGTGCTCTAAACTTCAGATTTTTGTATTTGTAATTAAATAATTCACTCTTATGTCACAGGGACTCTTGGGACTTTGTCAAATACTGGAATGTTGAGGCTTTGTACAAAAAAGTTGTTTGTCAGCTCTTCTTTGTAATAATAATAGAAATAATATTTTCTGCATAGGTTCATTTGGACTTCAATTTTTGTAACATGGTATGGAAATTTAAGGAAATTTTTTCTGTACTACTTTAAATTGTACTGAATTTTGAAGCTAAAGATGCAAAACACATTAAATATTCCTTCCAGAGAGGGAACTAATTCCTATGAACTGTGATAATGAAATATTTTTGGTCCAGTATTAATTTAAAATTCTAGTTGAAATACGATAGGTAGTTTATAACCTAATCTTTATGATCCTTATACCTTTGTCATGCAATTTCCAATCCTGAACTATTATCTCTTTCCTTTTCTATTTCTTCATATTCAGCCTATCTTCAACTGCCATGTTTTTTTACTATACTGCTTCAAGTTTTCACGTAATAACCCCCAACAATATTTTTTCTTTTCTTTAGTGCAACAAACATCTAACAACCCGAATAGTTTTCCTTTCTTACTGCCATGGGCACACCAAGTATGTTTTTCACATCAAGCCATATTCTCTTAGAAGTCACTACTGCTGTTCTGCTGCAGTTGCAGTTTCTCTTTTCTACATTCCTTAGTTTTTTCTCATCCATTATTTTAAACCACACGTCTTGCTGTGTACTAAAACCTTCATACTTCTATGTTTAAGTTCGTAACTGAAACCAAATTCTCTCTCCTGCTTTTTTTAATTAACTTCTATTCCTTTCTCCACTTTGATTTAAATCCCATATTAAAAATATTCAACAAATTCTCACACAGCAGTAATCCAAACCCATTCACTTGTTTCTTTCATTATCATCCTTTTGTCTTTTTGAGTTTTATGGAATTGGGGAATGTTCTTTACCTGAACATTTTTTGCTTTTTAAAAAATTTCCATGTATTAGGTTTCAAGTCATTTCTATTTTTTTCCTTTCTCTACATTCACGTCTAGGCTTTGACATCAGTTGTTAACTACAGGGAGCCCAAGTCAGTCTGCAAAGCACCTGAGTTGGTAAGTGATTAGTATTACTGTAGAATGTAGTAATACTTCTTTACAGCTGTTAGATGAGTCGGCATTAGGGACCGCCACATGTATATCCATTGCTCTTACTAAGTTATGCTCATGAAAGTATTTGAGTAGTGATTACTTAACCCATACACACATACATGTTTTGGGGGTATGCAAAAAAAAAAAAAAAAGTGGTTCTGTTAATATTTGCATAGACTTTGTGGTTTTGGTGGATCTAGTTTCTATCTTCTACACATGAGCACAGCTTGTGTAGAAGACTATGAAATTACTTTCACGTAGAGTTTAAGAGTATGTTGGCATATGTATTTTCTCAAGCTTGACAAGTAGGTTTGGGTTTGTTTTCTCTTTTTTTAACTTGAGCTGGCCAAGTACTGTGACAACTTATTGAAGAAGTCAGCAAAAGGAATGACTGAGAACGAAGTAGAAGACAAACTTACAAGTTTCATTACTGTTTTCAAGTACATTGATGACAAAGATGTATTCCAAAAGGTAACTCTCAATAATGAAATGTAAACAATATGTGAAGAATATGGTTGTGCTTTTAAAAAATCCTTATAGCTGTTTTTTTTCCACACAGTTCTATGCCAGAATGTTGGCAAAAAGATTAATTCATGGTTTATCTATGTCTATGGACTCTGAAGAAGCCATGATTAATAAACTAAAGGTAATGTAAACACTGTTCTAATGCAAAATAGTAAAAGAGTATGTAATGTTAGGAGGGAGCAGCAGAGGGTGCCAGAGATAACTTAGCAATCAGTAGATTACATTTCCAGTAGTCAAAAGGAAAACTTAATTTCTAAATAGTGTATGAAAAACATGTGGTGAAATATCCTTCATATGTTTGAGGTGTTTCATTTTATTTTTAAATTTTGAAATAGCTTTATAAAGTGTGTTTAAATACCTCATATTTATGTTGGAAAAGCACCTATCCTAAAACAGCTTTATCTTTTTAAAAATACAGTTGTTTATACAAATTAATGAATAAAAAGTGGAATTAAGAAAAGTTTGATAGTTTTCTTCTGTAATGCTTGTTATTTATTATAACTACTGTTAAATACTTTAACATTTCTGCCAACTAGATTTTCTTGTCAGAGTAGTAAATGTATGAGTGTGCATTATTTGTATAATAAATGTTGTTTCACAATAAAACTTGTTAACAATCTCTTTTTCACAGCAAGCCTGTGGTTATGAATTTACCAGCAAGCTTCATCGAATGTATACAGACATGAGTGTTAGTGCTGATCTCAACAATAAATTCAACAACTTTATCAAAAACCAGGACACAATTATAGATTTGGGAATTAGTTTTCAGATATATGTTCTACAGGTACTAATGTATGTTTATTACTGTTGAGTTATTCGTATTTCATTTGTATGTTTTGATAATAAGTGAAATATTTTTCTAACTAGAAGTACTTCTCGTATGACACCTTGTGATCAGTGTGGAATACTTTGCTTTCATAGTTTGTCTTTTTAAAATTAACTTGTTAGCATACTAACGAGTAGTGCTGTAAAACGCCATGTGTTTTTTAAGTTGAATTAAGATCTTACTGGGGGATATTAGCATTAAAAAAGGGCCAGTAAAACTGCTACTTTAAGTTACTGTCTAATTACAGTATGCACTGTAAATCTGTTCAGTAGTGTTTTACTTTTTATTGAAGTATACATGGTATGAAAATGTTAATACTTGTATTTTTTTCCTGATACCCTTAGGCAGGTGCATGGCCTCTAACTCAGGCTCCTTCTTCTACATTTGCAATTCCTCAGGAACTGGAAAAAAGTGTACAGATGGTAGGTTAGTAGGAGGCTTCTTGTAAACATGTGGAAATGTAAAAGAGCACACACACACACAAAAAACAAAAAACATTAAAAAACCCACCAAGATCATTTTAACAGACAAAAGCCTGAGCTGTTTCATTTTGTTTGTAATTCGTGGATCCTCTTTCTTCAGTCAAATGAAATTTGGAAACATCACACAGATGACTTACTGCTTTCTATGTATGCATTTCTGTAACCTTAATTTATTTATTTTTTACTTTGTGATTAATGAGGAAGATACTAGTAAATGCAATCAGATGAACTTACTTGACTTTTAGCTAATTCCTAATATTTTAGATAAGATCCTGATTTTTAGATAAAATTGTATTTTATCTAAATAATATATATAATCTAAACGAAGTATTATTAAATAGATTAAATTGTGGATACAGCTTTCTTGTGCCATGTTTCATACAGACCAGATTTCATTTGAAGTCAAGATTCATGCATGCATACTTCTTTAAAGTTAATTTTGAAAACTGTCAAAGTAGGGGATGCTTCAATTTTCATAAATTTCTGCTGTCAGTATAACTTTGAAAATATATTTCCTAAGTCATGAATGTGTGCTTCTTTGTGGAAAATGATTTTGGTAGGTTTCCAAGTTTTGCAAGTTTAGCTGCAGAAATTCAAGAACTCTTGTTGACATCGTGGTTCAGAGATGTTTGCCATTTGTGTAATTATAACTAGCCTGAAAATCAAATTAGAAAAGTGACTAATGTTATGCTTCCCTTCAAGCTTGCTTTTCTGAAATTATCCCTTAAAAATATGTAGAAGAATATAAGGTGAGATTCAACTTGAGAGTTGTGTAGCTGACTGGTGGAAATACCTGTTAACTAAAAGCTTGCATTTTTTGAGGGATGTTTGAAAAAATCAGTAAAATGGGAAATGAAAGTCACAAAATATGTTTTCATATGGAATTGGAACAAACAAAATAATAAAATATAATGAGATTGATTGCTAGAAACTCCAAAGAGTTCTGTTGGATTCAGTAGTTAATACTTCATAAGACTGCTTTTAGCTACAGTGTATTAGGATTTCAGAGTATGAATGTCTCAGCAATTTTTCCTATTTAGTCATCAAGCTGTGTGTTAATTTGCTCAAGTAGTTTGGTAAATGTTGCTCAGTCATTGCCTGTCTTTCAAAGGAAGATGCAATGATAGACTCAGCACCAATCATCACCAATGTCTGAATCCAATGTGTTGAACATCAAACCAGTGTTTCTTCACTGGAGTGGTAGTGTGATAATAAACTATTATAAGTTTGTGTGATTAATTGAAGGACATTTTATTTTGCAGTTTGAATTATTCTACAGTCAGCATTTTAGTGGAAGGAAGCTTACTTGGTTACATTATCTCTGTACAGGTAAAAATAAATGCTTTGCTAAATGTGCTCTATACAACTGACAATTGTTGGATGTCCTTTTCAAATGGTAATAAACATTGAAAGAGGAACGTTATGCTGCATCTTAAGTCAGTTGACTGTTTTTGCATCATAAAGTAATTTATTTTGTAAAATAATTAACATTTGCAGCTTAGTGTTCCCCAAGTTTATGTTTTGTAAACTTGCCTATGTTATCTGTGATTTATTAAATCCAGGGAAAACTCAATTTATATGTATGTAATGGACATGTGTGTTGGAACTGTGAGTTACATTTCAGATTATATTTCATTGCATTCAGCCGCTTTACAAAATACTGCTTGTATCATTGTAGGTGAAGTAAAAATGAATTATTTGTGCAAACCTTATGTAGCCATGGTCACAACATACCAAATGGCAGTGTTGCTTGCCTTCAACAACAGTGAAACTGTCAGTTATAAGGAGCTTCAGGACAGTACGCAAATGAATGAGAAGGAACTGACAAAAACTATCAAATCCTTACTTGACGTTAAAATGATCAACCATGACTCAGACAAGGTATGCAGCAGTGATATAAAAATGTTTTGTGTTCTCAGTGTTGTGGTTCTACTGTTTGTTGAGGTCTTTCTAATACAGAATTTGTTTTGATCTGTCTTATTTACAATCGTAAGTCTGTATTTATAAAGAAAGAGACAGGAAGAAGTTAGACAGTATTTGTGAGGTTGTGACCCTTCTGGATGCCCATCTATGCAACCTATTGTAGAGAACCTGCTTTAGCAGGGGGATGGGACTGGGTGATCTCATGAGGTTCCTTCCAACCCCTGCAATTCTGTGATTCTTTAATTCTGTTTGTTTCTTCTGCCTCTAACAGCAGAGTCTGCTACAAATAATGTGAGAACTGTTTATTGTTTCTGTTGAATTTCATCTGTGTGGCTTTTGATGCACTACTCTTGGAGAAGAAAACCCTTTGCATAGCTGTCTTTAAAAGTTGTAGGACCATAGGAAAGAGCCTGATTGGTATAGCAATGAGTCGTAATCTTTAAAATAAATCTGGCATTAAGAGACCAAAAGTAACAGCAGCCGTATTCTTCCTTGCTGATACATTACAGGAGGAGGAGGTAGGAGGTCAGAGAACAAGGAGGGCTCGTGTGAGAGGATTTTTGTTGCGTTTTGCCAGACTCTTATCATTCCACGTGTTTCATGCAGTTCCAGTACTATTTGCGTAATGTATCATTTATCTTCTTTTCCCATACAGCAAAGGGCAGAAGTTTGTTATGTATGAAACACTATAGAGGTACCCGTGCATACAATACAAACTTTAGCATGCACTTCCAGCTAGCCCAGAAAGCCTGAGTTATTTAGACAGTATCAAGCAGAAGAAACTGATAAGCTGTTCACATGCCTTACAAGAATAAATCCAAAGGTCCTCTGACAGCTGCTTTTTTTTATCCGGGAAAATATTAGAAAATGGAAAGTGGGATCACAAGGAACGTCTGATGCTTGACTGAAGTATAGGACATGCTTCAGATATTTAGAAATGAGCTCAGGTTGGAACAGTGGTTGGGAAGATGTTTGTTAAACCATGGGTGAAATATATCACTGGGAGCTATTACAGAAAACTGTGAGATTTTTTGTAATTTCAGAAAGTTGCCCATTATTTAAAGGATGTACATTTATTTATGTTGGTTGCATATGGTTTTACTAGTTTGCTTATGAATATGTTATTGAAGATGGAATGTTATAGCTTTCTAACCCTTTCACCTTTTAATGTTTACCACAGCACTTTCTGGTTATTTAACTTAAATGTTATTCAAACATGTCTGCTAATTCTGCTTCTTTTCTGCTCCATCCAGCAATTTGAGAGCTGATCTGTATATGGCTTATCATATTAAGTATTGAAAAAGTCAGTGGCTTAAACATTGAAATTATACGTATTTCTGCCTGTATCTGAGCTACACAGCAAAGTACAGTGTATTGTATGTTGCAGTTTGCTTTTGAAAGAAATTTTTGACAACTTTATTGGTTCATTAAAATCATTCTTTTTGAGTTCATGCACAACACAAATAAATTGTCTTAGTCTGTATTTCAAACATGGCAGCACAACAGTGCTAAAATTTAATGACAGCTTAAATTTTTAAAGCTTTTGATCTTTGCCCTTTCATGTTAAATTTTCCATACATGTCTGGGTATTGTATTCTAATAAAGAATATAGAATGCGTAATTAAAAATATTCATTTTTGGTATATTTTTAGATAAATATTGACTAAGTCTCTTAAAGTGTTTGCCTTTGAGGCAAGCATAGTTTGACAAAGTCTAAGAAGCGCAGCAACTTTCTTCTGCCAGTGATTGGTAATACTTGTACAGACCCTTGCCTGGAAATAGCAAAGATCTGTCAGGTTGTCCTGGTAGGTGAATCTAAAGGTGTTGGGACTGCTGGGAGCAGTGCCTGTTTAATGAAAGAAATGGACTTTGGCCTGGGTGTATATTGGGGGGGAAGGAGATACACCTGAGGAAAAAATGAGAAATTACACATAGTTCTGGAGCTGTAGTAGCTGCAGTCCATCAACTGTTCCTGCTATAGCACAGTAAAATGTTGAGGTTTTTTTTCCTTAAAGAAAAGCAACTTTAGTAGTATTTATGAGTGACACTTTGCTCTCTTGATGTTCTGCCATAAATAAATGCAAATCCTGCTTTCTTTGCAGGGGTAAAATTCTATTTAAAAGGAGAGTGTTTGCAATTAAGACAAACTGTTGAAGTATTAGAAAGTAAAATAGCTGTTCAAGTATTGAAACTGAAACTGCTTTAATTGCTTATCAGTAAAGAGGCTCTTTCTAAGGTTCAGACTAGATGTTAGGAAATATTTCTTTACCGAGGTAGTGTTAGGCTCTGGAACAAGCCTCCCAGAGAGGTGGTTGGTGCTCTGTGCCTGTCTGTGTTTAAGAGACATTTGGATAATGCCATTAATGATGTGTTTTAACTACTGGTCTGTCACCCCTGAAGTAGTCTGTCAGCTGGGTTCAATAAGCTTTGTAGGTCGCTTCCAACTGGAACTACTCTGTTTTATTCATAATTGAGGCTTACTAGCAATATTCATGTTTGTCAGAGTTCCTTATATTGTTTTACAAAAGAGACTGCATTTCTGTGTTAGTTGAACAGCAGCTTAAAAAACTGACCTGGTTCAATTGGCTCATTAACATTTTCAACTGCAAATTTGCTGAAATTGCTCTTACGTATGCAAGCTTCTACATGGAATTTTCTTCCCAGCAAATCCTTGCTGCTTATTCTTTTTTGTCTCCATTTCTATTTTCTTTTTAAAAAAAACTCTTTATTGCAGGAGGATGTGGAGGCAGAGTCTACATTTTCATTAAATATGAACTTCAGCAGTAAACGAACGAAATTTAAAATTACTACATCAATGCAGAAGGACACACCACAGGTAAGTATTCTTTGATGTTTGTAAGCTGAATAGCTTAGGAAGCTTAATTTTCTAAAACTGAATTGATTATATTAGTTTGCTGTAAGCAGGTATAGGATTTACATCACTGTAAAGATGTTGTTTAAATTTGAAGCTTACATGCTGCAATTTTTTTTGTACTTAAAATACAGGTAACAAAAGGTAGGATAGAGAATAATAAGAAAAAGATGAACAAGAGCTATTTCTCCTGTAGCAAATGGAATTGGTATTTAACCTGCCTTAAGTAATGAGACTTTTGTTGGTAGTTGTTGGCAACTTATTTCAGAAAGAGCAGAACCAATCAAACTGTTCCCATGGTTTTGTTTCCCCTCAACTAAAATCAGCTCCAGTGCTGATAATCCAGGTTCCTTCTGTATCTCCTAAGGCATAGTCTTCTGTACAAGAGTTACACATGCTGCTAAACTCAATACCTTACTGTAGATTTTGCCTGCTTTTCTCCCTAGCAAAGGCACTGCTTCGGATATCTTCTTCCTACCTACCTTCTGATTTGCATGAAATCTGGTATTTTTGATTTACGGAAGCACATTATGTGAAATTGACCTTTATCTCGATTACTGAGTGTGTTAATTGATAAATAATAAAGTAAGAAGTTTAGATTCAAGATACTTTTATGATGTATTTATTAATCTTGCTACATTTAAAGCTTTACTTTTCTTCCTATGTTGCAGGAGATGGAGCAGACCAGAAGTGCTGTAGATGAAGATAGAAAAATGTATCTTCAAGCTGCTATAGTCCGTATCATGAAAGCACGTAAAGTGCTGCGACATAATGCTCTTATTCAGGAGGTAAGATAAAATCCTCTTCCTAAGATTTCATAAAAATCTTCGTGATTTGATGAAAATAACCAGGATAGATAGGTAACACATCCAACTGCAGAATTACCATGTCAATACTAGTACTTCAGTGAAATTTACTAGTGAAAGTCTACTTTGAAACATAGTACCTACCTGTGATCACTCAGTCCTATAAATATGTCTTAGCACTAAAGTAGTAAGCATCTCTGTGCTTGTTCTTTCCTGTTGGCTGCCTCTGTGTCTGCAGATGTTGTCTCCTATAAGAATCACTGCCAGAACCGTAGGTTCAGTTGAAGACACCTGAGTATGGATAATTTAGACATGAAATTTCCACAGAAGCACTTAGCCAATTTTGCACTCTAATTGTAATTTTGGATTTTGTCCTAATTCATAGCTTACGTTTCAGAAGTTGCTTGAGTATGTAGATATGCTCTTAATCTCCATTTTACCTTAAGTACTACAGTTGTCTAGATTTTATATTCTAGATTAATGATATGTGAACTGTCATGAACTGGCTGGGAAAAAGGTGTTAAGTCTTTCATTTTTCTCCCACTTTTCCATCTGTGGTAGTTGCCTGCCTAATTGCATTTTGTGTTCTTACCTAACCTTTCCTCGTATCAACCAGTTCCTAGTCTTGGTTTTCTCAGCCTTCTAAGGCATTCTTGCATCTCCTGAGCTTTGCTGAATAGCCTCAGAGCAGGTTGGTGGGAGTGGGTTTGCTGCTTTATTGGACCATTTTGAGCATGGAGGTGGAGAGGCATTCAGTCATTTTAAGATCTGTATGTTTTCTGTCTTGTGGTAATGAAGGAAATAGTTACCACACCTACCAATTAATTTTAATTTCCTAAGCAAAATAACCAGCTGAAGAGAGCTTGTAAGTTCATACTGACTGGTGAAATGTGAAATATCTGAAAGATTTTGGATTTTGAAGTAGAGCCTGTACACAGATGCCCTGAAAGCAAGCTTTCTTTTGGATATCTGATTTTGAGCATCTGAAAGATGAGGCAGCATAGGTCCTGACTACTTATCAAAACCTTTAGTTATTTCATCTTCTGTTACTTAAATTCATGCAATTATGATGAAATACTCTTAAGATTTTTCTCTGAAAGCTAGAAAATGGTAGGTAAGCCATGTTTTATCTTTGAAAATACATTTTCCAACTTCTTAGAAAATACTCAAGAGACTTAAAACCAGTTTAAATGATGTTAAATGATAGGAGGTTACATATTTTGACAGCTTAGAAACAAAAGCTCCTGTATGTTGTTTTTCCTCTTTGACTGATTCAGAAGGCACTATCTGACATGCCTCAGATGCATTTTGCTCATTTAGTACTCTTGCAGAATACAGCAGTCTGTTAACAACAGGAGCTTTTTAAAGTTTTTCAATAAGAATGGATATGTTGACTGCTAGTTTGCTTAAAAAGCATTTGAGATTAAAGTTGACACTCCATTTATCTATTACCAATTACATCAACCTGAATTATATTTTTTACCTTAACTTTTAATTAAATTTATGACATGTGTAAACCATACTCATCTAGTCCATAGTTCTCAGTTTTGAATATTACTTATATTCTGGGTTAATTAAAACATTTAAAACTGATGGTTAGACTTCTAAATAACTGTTATCTACGTTGCTGTGTAGCATGGAGAATCAGCGTGGATCTAAATAAGCATCTGTGCAGTTCAAGCATTAAGGTGAAGCTGTACAAAAATCCTTTAGAGTTAATTTTTTCACATTTTTAGCTACCTGAACTAGTCTGTGCCAGTCTTCTTTTGTCTGCTTCAGCTAAACTTTTAGTGGGGCATAAGCCAGATTCCTTAAAATTTGTTACGTTTCTGTTGTACGGTCTGAGATATTGATGGAATCTTGGGCATTTCTGAAACTGTTGCCAGGTTGTAAATGTAAAGATGAAATCTCACGTTAGGTGAAAATTTTACTTAGTTAGATCTCCATTGAGCTCAGTAACTTCTTCAGCCTTATGGTGTAGATTGCCAAGTGGTTCTGGGTTGAACATGCTCAGCTTTCTCATTAGAGCTTTGTGGAAACTTCTGTTGAACATGTAGAGTATGCACAGTTTGACTGCTCAGCTTCCTTATTTTTCCTGCTAGCCTTGTATTAAGTTTTTATTAACTATCAAGAGCCTTTCTATTTTTTAACACATTCTTTTGTGACATTTTTACTCATTTTAGTAATATACACACTCACTTCTTGTTACATTTACCATAGTGTTTATGTACTTATTAATAACAAATTCCCTTAGAATTTCTAGTCTGACTTCCTCAGGGGTAAGAATGAGTCTTTTGAATGGAAGTCTGTCTACTATGAATAGTTAATATTTTCTTGCCTCATTTATATTTGGGTTTTTTTCCTGTGATACAAGAGCAACATTATATTTCTGGTAGAGATGGGACTGAAACATTCTGAAAAAATAAGAGCTCACAGTCTGATTAACTTCAATTCCAACAAACTGCAGCGCTGGGCATTTCACTTAGGTTGAGGTGTCCAAGAAAATACTCAAGATTGTTGAAAATTTTACTTTCCAAATGTGGCTGTCTAGTTCAGTAGGATAGGTTGCATGTTTAATATATTTAAACTGCATTATTTGAAAATGGATAAGCTCTTACTACAACATTCCACGCACATTTTTTGGGAATTTGCTTCTTATCAGCTTATATATCTTTAACAGTGACTATAATGATATAAAGAAAACACAGGGCTTACAGAATTTTATTAAGTGAAAGTATCTTCTCTATATTTTTATGATAACAAAAGTGATGATAAGGAAAATTGGGTTCAACTTCAGAAGTAGTTTTGAAAAATAAAATCAAGTGAAATTTAATCATTTATAGTTGTATGAACTATTACAGAAGCTAAAATAAACACATTCTTAAGTCTGTTAATATGCAGTCAAACTGAACCAATGAGTTAAACAAAGTGTTCTGACATTGATGTACAGGGATGCTTTGAGTTCTGTAAACGAACTGTCTGCTTTATTTAATTCTGTATTTAAAAGTAAACGGATCTTTGCCTTTTTTTTTTTTTTTCTTGGTAGCATTAATAACTATTGTAAATAAATATAATGCATAAAATATATCTTTCTTTTGCAGGTAATTAGCCAATCAAGAGCTAGGTTTAATCCAAGTATCAGCATGATTAAGAAGTGTATTGAAGTTCTGATAGACAAACAGTACATAGAGCGAAGCCAGGCCTCTGCAGATGAATACAGTTATGTAGCATGATGTTGCTATCCTGCAGGTATGATTGTAAGGAGATCATTGCTGTCACTGTTTGGTGTGTTCCTGTGGGAAGAGGCAGGCCTGTGCCTCCATAATTGGTCACTTGGCAGCCCCCGTTTTTCTGCTGTTTACAACATCACCAGTGCCATGTCATGAGCGTCAATGAAAATGCCTATAGATATTTCAAGCTCATGTCATTATGACATTTCTTAAAACTTTACTAAAAGAATGAGTGAAGTATTGCTGAGATGTGGAAATTTGGTTGGGTACCATGCTTTTTTTTTTTTTTTCCTCCCCTTTCACGTTTGCAGTTGATGTTTTTTAATGTATCTTAAGACAAAGTTAAAAAAAAGAAAAAAAAGAAAAAAAAAAAGAAAACCTAAATATTGTAATATGACAGATAACCTAATAATTGTATCTACATTAAAAAGAAAAAAGAAAAGATGAACATGATACTGCTGCTTGTCAAATAAAAAAAATAAAGTTATATGATGTGTCTCTCGTCATTCTAGAAATGAATATAACATTATTGTCTTTAAATATTCAGGCTGGGAAGAGTAAAAATAATGTGTGCTCAGGTGTTGAATAACCTTCGAAGTATATCTGTCATAAGGAATCATTTATGTAAAGCTGAGTGACAGGTATGTTACGTTTAATGTGAGTGTAAAAAAATGGCCTATAGTTAAGTGCACAGCTTGTTTTCTTGAGGTCAGTCTAACTTGTTACATTTTTACTGCCTGAAGGCCTAGTCTGTCTCTCTTAATCTCACAATGGAGGAAGATATTAGAAGAGAAAACAAACGGATGTTTGAGGGAATTTAACTTGCAAAGTTCACAGATAGGAATGATGATTGCAAATATTGAAGATATAGTTCACTGGCTTGTGAAACCACCGTTACTGGGAAAGAATATAGCAGACTGACTGGTAATTGAAAAATGTTTTCTTTCATGATGTATTGGGTAGAAACAACCCATGGATGGATATCTGTGTTGTTTCTACATGAAGCATTTTTCTTTTCCCTCCTAACTCATATGGTTTATCATCTGATATTTTCCCCCTCCTCAATGAGGTTTCTGGTTGTTTTGCCATTTGTCCTTGTGTTGTTCATGAGGGATAACATGTGACCATTCACTCTCAGACAAGCAAAATACAATTTTTTAAAGTGCTACCTCTACCACTGCAGATAATTGAAATAAGTGCATTAATAGTGTGAACACAGTTGAATGCCTGCTGCAGAAAAGAGCTTTCTCATGTCTGTGCCTGCTATTAGTTATTGAAAGGATAAACACTAACTTCAAGTGCTCTATTTGGATGGTTTTTGAGTGCATATAGATAGGTAGAAAGATTAGCTCAATATTTTTGTAGACTTTTTGATATTTCATCACCACTAGAAGACCACAGATCAAGAATTAATTTAAAAAGGAAAAAGCTTTTGGGTAGAGCTCTTTTCTTTTGTTTTCTGTCTTCTTATATGTATGGATGGTTTGGCTTCTCTTTGACTCATGTTGTTTCTGGCTGTTTTCTCTTATGTACCATCACATTTGTATGTAATCTGGAGGGTATGGTAAACTTCCTATGGTTAACTAGGGAATGCATCATAAAGTTGATAAGTTATGTCGATTTTGCTGAGGGCAAATAAAAGACAATAAACAACAAGGGGTGCAAAATATTTATTCAGTATTTATGGCACTAAGATTTGGGTTTTTGAAGTTAGATTTATGCTTTAAAGAAATGGTTGTTTAATTGATCTTGATACAGCGCAGCAGGTTGCTGTCCATTGTGGTAGTTCAGAGTTGTGCATGGGTGTTTGAAAATAGCACACGGTGTCATTAGACAAAGTAAATAGGACTGATACTAGCTAAGATTCACTACAGTGCCTTTTAATCTATTTAAATGTGAAAAAATTATGTGCCCAATGAAAAATATAGGAAAAAACAAAACAAAACAAAACAAAAGAATATTCTATGACACCATAGAAAAAAAAAGAAAAATATTGCCTGAACATTGAATCGTGGAATCATCAGAGCCTTTCTGCAGAAAGCAAGCCAACAGTGACACCAAAGCTTCTGAAAACAAATGTTTAGCTTGTAAGTTATGTGAGTCAACAGACTTTAAGCTCATTTGTTCATAAAATATTCATAAAGAATGTATTTAAATATAGATTGTAATAGGAACATTTTAAGACTTGAGTTTGAAAAAGCCCTGCTAAACTTATTTTTAAAATCACTTCATAGGCAAAGCAGACACTTCACTGCTCTAGCCCAAACGTGTAAGGTTTTAGCATTACCTTATCTATGAATTTTTGCATACTTAAAACATCAAAAGTAATATTTTTTAGATAAGAGTGCTGTTGAGTTGAGACATGTTTAGTGAGTTAAAAACATTCATATATTTCAGCACTGTTGGCATCTCTAGACATCTTTCATAATTATGCACAAACTCGGTCTTTTCAGTGCCTCTTGGGAAACATGGCTATAGCTGGGAAACGTTTTAAATTCTGCTTTATAAATCACACCTTCCCCTTAAGGGAGAACATAGTGAAAAGACTCAGCCTTCTGTAGTTGGGTTAGGTCACTGAAGTCATTGTTGGCACACAGTGATACAGCACATTGTGTAGTGCTGCAGCTTGGCAACTAAATATGTCTGGAAAACATCATTTCAAATTACAAAGTGCTAATGAGTATTATCAGGAGAGGAAAATTATAGGAAGAGATCTAAAAGTGCCTTGAATTTTTAATTGTAGATTTTTTTTTTTTATTTGTTGTGAGCCTATTAACATCTAGGACCTGTTGGGGTTTTTTTGGAATCCACACAGCTGAGTCTGGGATTGTGTTGCTTTGATGCATCTCGTATTTTTCTAAGATTAAAATGCATTTTACCTGTCTTGTTGTTTAGTATTGATGATTTCTGTGCTAACTGGAACTGTACTGCTATTATGTTAAAATTCTCTAGACTGATTGGCATATTCCAGGCAAGGAAAATACATGCCTGTATTTTACTGTGCTCATACATACAGTGCTGGTAGTGCTATGGAAGGTACTTAACATTGATGTAACATGAGAAACATGAGAAAGTTTTGAATGTTGATAGTCTGTTACTTTTTAAAAACCTTTAAATGGGGATATTGCTTTTCCAAATAAGGAGCAGAGAAGAGTAATTGATATATTTTGTAAACTGATAATTTTCAGCTGTGGTTAGAAATCCATTTCTTAGTCTTCAAGTTAATTTTAAGAGCAAGCCTTCCAGCATAATTCAGGTTCATGAGTAGAATATATACTTTCTATCCTGGGGCAAATATGTTAGGACTGCCCGTGCATTACATTTATGATAAATTCCTAATTAATCTGAGATATTGCAGTCTATGAAAACATATTTTCCTGAAGCAGTTGTTCTTGAGCTGGTTATTTGGTCTTGCTACACTGAATTGGAAATTATCCTTACTTTGCTCGTTTACAGTGAGCTATCCTGCACTTCCAAGTTGATAACAAAAGACTTTTTGCAAGTTGCTAGGCAAAAGAAACATCAGAACATTGTTTGGGTAGAATAATTTTGTAACAGCACAAGACTTTACTGAACACAAATTTGTGTTTATGGTTTTAAAGAAGTGGGGAAATATGACAATAAAAGCAACCTGTCGTGCAAGCAACTTGGAGGTGCATTTCTAGTTTTCTGTTTGGTGGAGTTCACAATTGCATCAGTAGGGGAAAAAGGTACCGACCAGCATAATGAAAGAGGTAGATGAGGAGGCTGAACAGTTGGACTTGTTTTTGGAAGTAAAACATTTTACTTTACAAAATGTCTTTGAATGGATAAACGTATGTATGTGATCAACAAGATGACTATTTAGTTCAGTGCTGATGATGAATTGCTATGGGTTTGGTGAAGAAGTCTGTTAGTATTTTCAAAGGAGTACATTTGACATTCCTGTGAGTTGGTTCTGTTCTTCTCAACCATCACAGGTGCGTGCAGCACAAGATTTGAAAGCACCTGAGGCTCTTCAGTAAGTCCAGTCTTGCATATGCACTGAGAAGAAAAGGACTCTTCTAAGCCTGAACAGCAGTAAGAAGCAAGTAAAGAGGGTTACAGTTCTTTAGGAAATTACTTTCACCATTCGTTTTTACACCTTATTTATGACCCTTCTGACTCAAAGCTATTTAAAGTGAGCTAAGCAAAACTGAAATGCTCACTTGTTTGTCTTGACTCAAGTAGGTAATGATCAGTTTGCATTAAGTTAAGGATAAGGTTGTGGGTACATTACAAGTCTGTTATAAGCTAGAGTAAAAACTTTACACTCAAATCATAAGTGAAGTAGAATCTGTAATGAATTTACCTAGCCAGATACCTCCTCTGATATCTTATTCTCAGGAGGGCCTTACTGACTTAGAGACTATAGAAAGTAAAGTAGGATGGATGAAAGGCTTCCTAGTGTCTGCATTGCCAAGGCATCAGTAGGCCTCGTTCTTAGCATAATCACGGAGTGGTGAACTCTAATTATCACCTACTGGTGGAAGCTGGTTATTCTGATGTTAGTTGAACTATTTTTTTCTGCAGCTCTGAACAGAGGCACAGTACCTGCCAACAGTAAAGAGTGGCTTGAGAGCAGTTTTGAAACTTGACAGGTTGCTGTTGTCTATCTTTTAGTACTGGTTATATCATCTATACTTTACTAAAAAATATGTAAGATTGAAACTGTAACAACTCTGAAGTTTTTCACATTATGTTCAACCGTTTCAGTTCGGTTCCTTAAGATGTATTTGGGCTGTTCTCTCTACAGATATGTTTTCCTCTCTTCTTCTCGCCAGCTTAACAAAACTTGTGATCTTCAAGAAGAGACTTGAATTTGAGAGAAGAGCATTAGAGCCAAATAATTGTTAGATTTCAATAGATAAAATAAGCAGCCTAGGACATATAACTGTAACTCAAAATACTGTGTAGTCATCTGTGTATTTGAAGCCAGTTTTAGGGATTTGTTTTAAGCAATGCACATTTGGCTCCTTCAGAATGGTGAGATAGATGGAGTGAAGAATTGCCTAGAACTAAGAGGAAACTGTAAGTACATAGATAGGAGCAGTCTACAGCCTCATATGCTTTGGAAGTGATTTTAGTGCTTCCGTGAGCTCAGGATGTAGCACATCCACATTTCCTTCAGGATTTGTTCTGTTTTAAATGAGAGGCTGTAAGTACTGCTGCCAGTCACTGTTCAAGAACCAGGAGCCCTGACATTTCAAATCTTTCTTCATTCTTTTCTTGACCAAGACAGTACCCCTATAAGGCAAGCACAGTTTAGTAATTCTCTTGGACACATACGATCCTCAATTGGCTTGAAGTAAATTGGTCAATTGGTCAAAAGCAGTGAATTCTTACCTATTTCCCAAGGCTTTTAATGTATTTTTCATTGCAATGTTCAAGGGACTAAGAACAGTATCTGGGACATGGGATCTGTACATTAGTTGTGAAGATATTTCCATGGAAATTTGGGATGTGGGTATGGTTCTCCTGGAATGAAGAAAGCAGAAGACTTATTTTATGTAGAGGTTCCAGGCAGCGGATTGGTACACAAACAATGAGCAGTCTGCCTCTTGGTTCAGAACAAAAGCAGAAATGACTGGAATTGCATATGCAAACTTCATCCTCCTGTTACTGGCACCCTTAATAACCGTATGTGATAGGTAATAAGCCAGTTATGAGTATTAAATGAGTCTTCATTTGAAGTGTAAGAGCATTTAAGTTTAGGGGCCGTCTCCTGATCTGGAAACTAAGAAAGACTTGGAAATTGGGCTGTCAGAACTACCTTTTTGGGTTTACTCATGTATTCTGTCCGACTGCCAGGTGAAGCCGTGGAAGTGAATCATGAATTTCAGCCTCATCTCAGAGTTTCCAGGTGAAATTCTCTCTCCCTCAAGTGGGTGTCTGCTACCACATGTTTTAGTGTATTGGTAATGATGTATGTAAGCCTTACTGTAGCCACAGATTGAAGGGAATACATGTACACCCTCAAAGCATGTTCTACTTAAAATCTGAGTCATAGCTGTGAAACAGAAATGTGCTCATTGCATCTGGTGAAAGAAATAACATTCTTGTTGAGAACAACGGTAGTCTTCACCTTCTGCCTGCAAGTAAGTAGACTGTAGCCTTAAGAAATGTACCATTGAGAAGACCCCACAAATTAATACCTATTGCCCATATCTGAGTAAAGTAACCGAGAGGTTGTGCGAGTTGCTCTTTGCCATCTTCCTCAAGGCAGTAACCTTGCCAGTTTTGGATGTCCTCCCTCTTTAAGAGCATTGGATATTTAGTTTTAGAAATGTGTATTCTAAAATGCGTGCAAGGTTGTTTGACTGACAGGATGGAGGTGAAACGGGGCGTGTGCCACTGAGTATTGCTGCTATTCACTAAAGAGGGCAGGGGCAAGTGGGGACGAGTGCTTGGGTCCCAAGTGACAGTCTGGCAGTTAGGGCAACAGTGTGGGCTTTTGCATGTGGATTGACAGACCCTCTTTATTCTTTCCCACACCCAGGCACAGCCTTTGAAATTCAGACCTGACAGGCAGAGCTGGAATATCTGCTCCCCTCCCCTTGCAGCTCCCGAGGGCTGCTTGTCTCGACAGGCCTCGCTCCCTGCCTGGTTGCAGGCGGAAGGCCCAGCGGTGCAGGTGC